AATGAAAATAATTATTTATATTTAAATTATTTATAATATTAAAATTGCTTAAATTTTTAACACTATTAACTATTAGTTTCAATATTAAAAGATATTAATAATTTTAATATTATTAATATTGATTTTATTTTATAAAAAAATATTGTTCAGAGAACACTTCTCTTCATTGTGTCAGAAAGACTGAGATTGCTTTTTGATTGACTACTGTTATTAGTTAAATCGTATTGCAATTAATAAATTATTTGAAAATTAAAATGGATTAGGTACTAATAATGTAATAATTTTACCATGCAAATTGCACGTAATTTAAAATTTAATTCACTCTTTGAACAAAATAAAATCTTGTCACCGTTTGGCGCTATTTATGTTCTTTTAACTCTTCATGCCCTCATTAAGAATAATTTTCCTGACGAGACCAGCATAATTTAAATCCTCGCCACAATGTGCAGTGCAGTTAAAAGCGTTCCAGCGTCATGTCGTTTTTGCTCAGACCAGTGGATGGAGGCTGGAGAGACATAAAAGCGTGCAATTAGGGTGAGAAATTAGTCAAAGTTTGGGCTGAAAGGGCAGTTTAGTGAGTGACGAATTAAAGAAACGAGCCTTGAAGACGGTGATAAATCTTGACCCAGCTAGCATGGCAGGGTAATGAAAGCCTAGATTTACAAATTGCGCGTCTCTTTCTAGCCGTGCCCCTGTTTGCGCGCGAACGTTATTCGAGTCGAGGAGAAAAGGAAGACGTATAAAAGTTTTACATTTCATTGCAGCTCTTTTTTCCTCATTACTGCTTTTTTCCGCACACTTGTGTAATGACGCGCGTCCATGAAGAGGCGGCCGCGTTTTTATTTTCACCGAATAACTATTATCTGTGTCTGAACGCGCCGGGACTAACGCGAGAGTAAAAAAGGGTAATTTTACAACTTGTTTATTGCTCCTTCCAGAGCGCCAATTTGGAATCGATTTAGGCAAATTGCTTCTCTGCGTGACGCACACACGCACCGAGCGAGCAGCTCTTCCTCTGCTCTGTCGCGCCTCTGCTGCTTTAAAGATAAGATCTTTGTTCTCTCGTGTGAATTTCAAACGGCATTGTTGAGAAAATGATTTATATAAAACGATATTTCATGCCTATTGTGACAACTCTCTGTTGAGGCGTTGATATGTGTATTTTTCTGCTGCTTGCCAGGAATTTATCACTTCCGCCCTCCGACTTCAAGAGAACAAAACTTTTTATTTAATTCGTTTGGTTGAGAAAAGAAAAATTCCATGGTTTAAAAAAAAAAGTTGAAAAGCAATTGATACATTAATGTAAAATTTCGGATTTTTACGTAACTTCAAAAGATTTTAATTTAATTTTTAATTTTTCTTTTTTAACAAAATAAATTTGAATTTTTCAAATAAAAAGGGTTAAAAATATAAGCGCTATTTATAATTTTATTAACGTATGCAAAATTGATTCTGATTTCTCTATCGTGATTAAAATATAACCAAAATGTTCAGTCTTGAACAAGAATTTAATTTGAAAACTCCTCCATTTTAAGCACATCGTTTCTTTTTCAAATACAGATTAGGGAGGATCGTTTATCCGAACGACCATTTCAACTTGCGAAACAATTCAATTTGATGCGCCTCTGCTTCCGTTTGCAATATTAGCATTTTCTACGCAGTGCGTTGGACAGTTTCCTCTCTGCGAGCACAAGGACGTATGCAAATCAGCGCGTGAAACAAAGACTAAACATTTAGCCCAGTTTGTGTGAAATTTAACGGCAGTTTGGCGCCGCGATGTTCGCGTCGTTTAAGCTCAAGAGCTGCAATCTAGGGCGAAAAGGCAGGAAAAAAAAGCATTTCAGGATTTTCCACACACGGATCCAGGGGTCCGACCGACCGATGTGCACTGCAGGGGCCGTAAAGCACAAAAAGCGGTGTGTGACGCAAATCCACGATAATTTTTCTGTTCCTTTCTTTATCCCGACGGCAAGCCACTCGCGAGAGAGGGATCCATCCAGCTCTGCTGCCAATGCTATTATCGTGATTATACCAAATAAAAACGTCTCTCTCCGTTTTTTTGCTCTAATTCGCTCTCTACATGTGTTATTTCCACTCGATTTCCCAGCACCCCATTCCAAGCGGCTTATAACCGCAGAGAATATTTCCTTATAATTTCGACCGCCGTTTATATATATAGAGATCCTCTCGGAAGAGCTGCACAAGACGAATACGTATAGTCTGTGTGTGTGTGTTGGAAATGAAGTGCCCCCCGCTCGAATTTATCGCTCCAATTACTATACGAGCGGCGTGGCTGCGAAATGAGCGGACTGAGAGAAGGAGAAAACAAACACACTTTACTCTAAAGAAACATCTCTTTCCTTGCGCAACCGCATCGATTTTCGCGAAATTTATATTCAACTGCTCCTCCTAAAAGGGTAAACCAACTGACCAATTTACACGATTGCCTCCTTAACATTGCAAAGGCAACTTTAAGTTAAGACGCCGTTTATTTTTCATTTGTCGAATTTTCTCTGGAGTGTATGCTGTAAAAACTGTTTATTGTTGGAATCGTAAATATTTATACCAAATATCTTTAATCCTGTAAAGTGAATTAGTGAATTACAATCAAAAGTATGTAAATTTAATTTAGACTTGAATTTTTTAGCCAATAGACATTGTTTTGTTTCTCTTTAAATTTCATAGCATGAGGACTAATCATAGAATTATAAATTCAAAATCCAAAGCTAACATCGATTTGAAATATTAAACCCAACCATTTCTTAAAAAAATTGTCTTAAAACAAGTTATATTGTCAAATTTTTGCAGTATAAAATGAAATATTAATTAAAATATGTCTAAAACTATATCATTAAAACAACTTAGTTAGCCACCAGCATTTAAAGTTACAAGAAGAACATTTTTTTTATCGCTTTTTTGACAGAAAAAATACCTAAAATTTAATTAAGATTATTATTTTTATTATCTGTAGATGCTTTTTTTTATCTGAAAATGAAAGTCAAATTAAATAAACGGGCAATGCCCTTAAAACAAAATTGATGTTTCAAAAAATCAAATTAATTAATTAATTTTCTGGAAAGTAAACAAATAAAAATTAGCTCTGGTCAAAGTGAAGTTTTTGATATAAAATAATTTCCATTTCTGCTTCTCGCAAATGCATGCTTTTGGCAGACCCATGTTTAAGTCAAACTGTTAGGTTTGAATTCAATTCAAAATAGCGGTTAATTTAGCTCTGCCAGTGTAGCGAGCGCAGCTCTCACTTGAGCCGACGACTAGTGCTGGTAATTTTGAACGACAGGGCGAGAGCTGCAGTGTAAAGAGCGGTCGGAAAACAATGTGTGGCCGGCGAGTGTCTCATTGTGTCAATAAATAATGGCGGCAGAAGGATGCACGAATACAATGGGCGCCATTGTAAATTATATTATCTAGTCGTAATTTAATTAGAAAAGTTGAGACGAAGAGTCAAAGCAAGTGCAGAGTTTCAAAGTCGCTTTGAATCGAAAAGAGGCCGAGAGCACCTTGCTCTCGAAATTTATTAACTCCCACACACTAGTGCGCGCACAAAAGTAAATTCCGCACATCGCTCCGTCGCAAAAAAGCCAACCCACCCAACCACCCTCGTCTCCACCGCACACATCCGACGCGTTCGTGATCTCCTCGCAGCAGCGGCACGTGAAAATTGATCTTGGGAACAGCCACTTCATGACTTGCAAAATAAAGTGACTTGCTTCGGCTGGCGCATCCAACATTTTCACACACACACACAAGAACCGCAAAACGCTGGAGAAACATAAATTCGCATGCTCGGGCTTTATTGCGGACGGCTGAGAGTTATTTTACGGGGGTGCGAACACGCCACAGTTGAGGGGACAAAATAAATTTGGCGGCGAGTGTGTGGGTGCGACGGTCAAAGGTCATCACGATTTATCGCCGCCTTTCCACGAAAAGTTCTCAGCTTATGCACAGAAAAAGCATATTTGCTTAAACAACCTTTTTGGGCCCCAACCGAAGTTAAAAACAACCAGTGATAAAAAAATTACTTCAAAGTTTATTGAAATTTTCACGGTGGTTATAAAATTAGATTGTTCAAATTTCTCATTAAAACAAATTAGGTTTTCTAGAGCGAAATATTTTAAAGGTCTATAAATTAATTATAAATCTTCACATCAATTAAAGAAATAATCCCAATTTTATTACTTAAAAAACCTTTCCATGAAACATTGAGTTTAAACAGAAAAAACCATAAAGCTACAAAATGCTGATTTATGGAATAATTTTTAATTGTCCTTATCAAGAAGTTGATGATAAAATATGAATTTTAATCAATTTAATTAAATACAAATTTAATAGTTATCAAATTATTACTCTATTTTATGGTTTAATTTGTAATTGTCCCATGGTGAACAATTTTTGACAATTTAGCTAATGGATTGGAATTCTTAATATTTATGAATTGCCATCAATTTTCAATGAATCTTACGATATTTGAAAAATATTTAGAATCTATGCGGAGATGATAATTAACAAACTTGAACTCTAGCATTAAAAATCTAGAAGGAAAATGTTATTGTTATGTTGATTTACTAATCTGAATTTCCATCCACGTTCAGAGCTTTAAAAATAATCAAAGAAAGAAAATTTAACTGTAGATGACAATCATGGAGTTAAAAACAAAATTATCAAGACTATTTCAATAAATCTATAAATATTTGTTTGAAATAAATATTTTTACAATAAATAATTTTGAATAATTTATATTTAAGAACTGTTTAAAAAAATCTTTATAAATTTTAAAATATTTATTAAACGTGAAAAATTTTTAAGTTGGTCTTTTTTCAACTACATAAAAAATATATTATATAAAATATTTGTTCAATCTAAGGGAAAAATGAGTGTCCGCATTGTACGCCGCGGCCTTTGCGCAACATCCCGTTTTGTGTGTTTGGGGCATCATGTGGCCGAGCCGGTCTCTAATCGATGTGTGTCGTTGGTTGTTGCAGATGGAGTGGAACATTTGTCTGGTGGTCGCGAGGTGAGCCGCGCGAGTCGCTGCACAAAGTGGAGCCGCCTGTGATATGCGAGATGCTCTTGAAGAGGGCTATGCGCTACTACCGCCTTTGGATCTACGCGTGCAACGTGGCGCTGCTGGCGAGCGTCGTGGGCTTCGCGTGCGTCGCCGGACGCACGCTCGCGGACCCGCGACGCGCGCTCATCCCCGCCGTGCGTTTCCTCTACCAACCCACTTTCCTCTACGCCTACCTGGCGCTGATCGCGCAGGGCGGCGCCGTCCAGGTGCTCGGCTGCATCGGCGCCCTCAGACTGAACGAGCGCCTCCTCGAGCTCTACTGGCTCCTGCTTTTCCTCCTCCTCTGCGGCGACGTCCTCATCGGCCTCAGCTGGATCCTCAGGTTTGACCAGGTAAAAATAAAACATATTTTGAAATTTGTTGCTGCCCCGTAAAATTAATATTCAAAAAGTTTAATACGCTTTTCTGGCATGTTTTCAGACGTGAAAAATAATCACTTGGAGAAACTTTTTATTGAAAAATTTACAGCCCTTACTTTTTTTTGCCAAACTAGTGCTGGGAGCTGGAAAATGGAAATAAATAAATTGGAAATATTTTTTGAAACAAAATATTAAATATTAAATTTAAGCCTTTTCAATGGAGAACATGGAAACGATTTTTTTTTCAAGTAGCACAGCCCATTTTAAAATTAAATTATTAAAAAAGGAAAAAGAGTGAAATATATACATAGCGCCATTTGTATATTTTTCAAAAAGTAGAAAATTGGAAAAAAAAGGGCGAAACAACAATACTTTTCCCTCTACATTTCACTGATATTTTGAAAACAAACAAACGAACAACTTTCCAGCAAAATCATTATAAATAATTAAGAAATAGAAAAAAAATTAATTATTTTTAATACACAAGGTTGGAAGAAAAATTTGAGTCGCTGGCCAATTTGAATTTATGACATCATTGGATTGATTAATTATTGAATAACTGAAATTCGAGTTTTTTACGTGAAAAAAGTCCATTAGCGGAAAAAATTACCTCTCACGTGTGTTTTCTCTCTCCGTATTTTTACTTTTTTTTCTTTTTGCTAGAAAAAAAACCTTTGAAACCGCAAATTTTAGCAGTTTTTGCAGTATTTACTTTGCTCCGCCAATGGACTTTGGTCGAAGCTCAACAAAGAGGGGCCGAAAGGGTTTTTCTTTCGTGTTTTTGTTTTACCTGTTGAAGAAAAACAAACTTAAAATACGCGAACACACGGCGCCTGCCATTGAGAGCAGGCAGGGTACGTACACGTGAAATGCTTTGATGTCGGGTCGGTCCTTTCAGAGTTGCTCGCTGGGAAGCGCGTGCGTTTGACTTGTGAATATTTATAAATTGGAAGAACGTTTAGCACACTTTTGCAGCCTTTCAGCAGCATACACACGTTCGGCGGCTTGTTTGTGCTTGTTTTGAACAAACAGCCACGAAAACACGAAATCCAAAGCTGCATGCATTCAATTTTAACGAGTAAACATTCAGCTATTCGTATACAGCTTTTGTGTATCTCCTCAAAGGCGCAGTCAAATCTCAATTTTCTGCGCCGATGAGAACGCGTGAAAGAAAACAACAGCCGCGTTTTATGTGTCTTTCATCTCTTTCGCACGTCTGTCTGCACAACTTTTAAATTCTCTGATCATTATGACTGGCGAAAAATATTTTTCAAAATTCCAAAATTTTCAGATTTAAAGTAACTTAAAATCTTTCGGTGACGATGAATTAAAATTTGGTGCTAATTTAACGTTAATTAATGAAAAAGTATAAAAAATTGGCATTTTTAACTATTCCTCTAGGCCTTGAGCATAATTTCCATCGGAATAAAATAATCGGTGAAGATTTTTTAGCGAAAACAAAATCGATATGAAACGTTTCACATACAGAATTATGTGCAGTAAATATATGGGTTCTGCAGTTCTACGATGCAGAAAGCTGGAAAAGCTGCACTTTGTAATTAAAAACGTCAAGTGAAGTAAAAGACGGCGACAATCACGGAATTGCTCGAGAACACGTACGTTCCACCACGTGACGTCAAACTTGACAACATCAAGTTGACCTCCAAAGTTTATACTCTGTGACATTTCGAGTATGGCTGCAGAATCCCAATTGAGGTCTAGAGCAAAAACTTGCTCGGGGCCGCTCTATCTGACTCGGGCACTAAATATAGAGACCTCCTCGTCGGGCGGGCATTAATTTGGAACAAACGAACGAGGGAGACAATGGACTCTGGCCGCCGCACGCTTCATTGTGCGCTCGCTCGGCCCCCTTTTAAACGACCATTAAATCAGCAATCCGTCAATCCCGTTGGCAATCCATTAATTAGGCCAAACGTCCTAGAGATTTTTTCATCTCTCTTTTATCTTACGAAATAAAAAGGACGAGCTAGAGTAGAAAAAAAATGAGAAATAAAGGTAAAAGCTTGAAAAATTTTGCAACCAAGGAGCATGCCTTGTACGGAAGTTTCAAACTTGATCGTTTTTTCCTGATACTTTCCAGATAAAGAGGCTGAAATTATTTTATATTGTTATTATTAATGAACAAATAAACTTTTTCTTTTGTAATTTTTATGAAAAAAAGAATCAAGGCTGACCAGTTGGCAAAAATCCTTAGATTACTGATCAAGTTTTGAGACCATATACACAGATTATTTATTATTAAAACAAATAAAAAATAAACTTTCATAAAAATTAAATGATTATAGCTGATTTTGTTCTACAAAAAAAATGTACATTAAAAATTTAAATAATAAAAACGAGTTAAAAATTTTATTTCCTGCTCATAATAAAAATAGAACAAAATTGTACAGTGTTTTACAAATAAAATTTTTATAAAATGTATAGATACATTTTTGTAAGGTGTATATTTTTTAATGTAAAGCATACTTGATTATAATTTTAATAGGAATTGATTAAGAAATTTTTTATTTTTGCTACTTAACTGATTCTAATTGTTGGGAGTTTGTTTTTAAATTATCCCTATAACTATCGTAATTGTTCTTGGAATTAATCTTAATTACCAAACTGAAAAATTAGTTTATATAAAAAAGGGTCAATGAAAGTATTTATAATGTGCGTGTATTGTTTAAAATGAACAGCTTTGACGTTAAAAGGAAACAAAAAGCAGACCCTTCTTTCAGCAGTTCCAACTTTTAAACTTTTTATCTGCCTCGCAGGGAAAAGGCCGACTTCTGTCGTAATTATAGAATGATAATTGCAGCGGATTCACGGGAGCGTATACAAGGAAAGAGTGGGCTGGGCACGCAAGCATAAATTAGCGCGAAATTGGACTGCTTGCTCTGGGAGCCGCGCACGTTAGTTATATTTTTCTTCAACTTTCGCCTGGTTTTGTTTAAAAAGTTTAATCTCCCTTTCTGGCGGAAAATTTGATAGCGCGGCTGCGAAATTGGCCCGGAACATTTCCAGCCGGGTGTCTTGTTGCGTCTCTTGCTAACTTTATCCCGGGCAGGCCAGAGAGCAGCGCGCGTCACTGCAAATGGAATTTTTATTTACATTGCAGCCATGAGTGACTGGCTTTAAGATTCTCGGCGAGAGAAGAACGAATTCCCAGCAGAAATTAGATCCGCCGACCGACCTCTAGGCAAACAGCCTGATGAATTATTCACATGCCAATCTGGCGTCGGAAATTTGATGCGGACAAGGTGAGAACAAATTGTATCTCTCGGCCGTGCAAATCATTGCAACAAGCGGGGTTAACTTGGTGCTCGCGCGTGTGTCAAGGCCTATAATATGTGTAAAAGCGTCTCTCTCTTTTTGCAATCGTGCAGTCAGCGAGCATAGCAATGGCAAAGAAAGCAGCCCCTCGCCGTGTTTGCAAAAGAGCTCTCATCTTGCTGAGTGGTTTTTAATGAAACTGCGTCCACGGCAAGCGACGAATCGACAACTTGCTCTCTAAGTGCTTTAAAAATGAATATTCTCCGACTTTTTTTGTATACAAAATGTGCGCTTCTCTATTTTTTGTTTTCATAAGAACGGATAAAACTGAGAGAATTTTTTTTATTTCTTTCGCTAGAGCTTATCTGGAGCAGAATTTTCCATAAAAATAAAAATAAATGGCAAAATTTTATATTTGATGAATTTTGAGACAAATGTACTTTGACTAAAACTTAAAAATTGACTCCATATATAAAAGTAAAATTGTTCCTTAATATAAAACACTTTAAATTTGATATGAAACTCTAAGAGAATTGAAAATCCACCTTTTATAACATATTTTATTGGAAAAAACATTTTCCAAGCAAAATGTGTTAGACAAAATTGATGGACTTGTTAATTTTCAAAGTTTTCATGGCTCTTACTCTCATGCTTGTGGATTAAGGATTATGGCACCCCAGCAACTTTTAAAAGTAAACAATTACGTCACTTTTGGTAAAAAAAAAAGATGAATCCTAATGCAAAGATAAGTTGTATTTTTATAAAGTTTTCTTTCTTTTTTTTATTCTAATTTAAATTGAAAATGGTTTTTTAAATTTTCAATTTTTGCGTATAGCATTTGAAAAGAAGGTAATTTAAAAAAGCTTATAAAAAACGACGCTGGCTTATTTATATGAAAAAGCTTCCCTTCGTCATACTTCATACTTATTGTCTCTGAGTAATTCAGCTTTTGACAAAAACGGAAAAGGTCAGCTTGCTAATTAATTTTCCAAGTCACGACTTTTAAGCTTTAATTATTCCAATGCCTTTGTGCGGATGAAAGAGCATGAGCGTGAATTATACGGCATGTGCATTCCGAGCTGATTAAACAACAAAGCTCACTCAGTGCCCGTTTAATTAGACAACGCCTGCCGCTCGCTGCTTATGCAACGCGGCGAGTTCAAATGTTGAGCGGACAGCATAACCAGTAGGAGATTTAACACAGGCAGGCCGGCTAGCGAGGGCGCGTGCGGTTTTGCCGTAATGAGCTTAAGTGTTTGCTGCGGCAACTCTGGATTTATTTGCTGCTGCCATTGTTGCCGCAGCACCAGTCTTGACAGTTTTCATTCGGTCCAGTCATGGCCCGACCGTGTTCTCAATTAAAGACGCCGCTGTGGGAGTAGGAAAGAGAGTGCGGTCGTTCAAAGGCACGCCGCGCACCAAAGCCGGCCTATCTTGATTTAGTCACATACGGGATGGTTGTCAGCCGGCAACTTTTGTTGAAAAATTGCCTCGCGGAAAGCGGAAAAGAGAAACAGGAGCGGTGTCTGCCAGAGCCGGCCGAGATAGGGCACAAGATGCCATCGATTTTCCGAGATATAAGTTCAAGTCGGAAATGACACTGGCCTCCAACACGCGCGCCCAGTTGCTTTCTCAGAGGTAATAAATTGCGATGACGAGCGTGCAATTTTTCAGTGTTTGCACAATCAACGTGTCATCGGCATGAGCGATGTTGGGGTGGAATTATCTGCAGAAGGAGATTTATTTTCATATAAAGGGAAGTGAGACATCAGGGAGCAAAGTTGAAAAAATCTCCACATTAACTGATTAAAATGTTGAATTAAATTAATATTTTTGGCCAGTGTTTTGTAATTTAACTGTTTTTCCAATTAAATATATTTCTTTATTAGGTTTTGGTATAAAATTAATGCAAAAATAAAAAAAAACCGTAAACAATTTCCATCTAACAATAAGGAATAAAGAGCAATTCAAATATGTCCATTTTTTTTTTAAATAAATTTTAAAATGCAGTACATTTTGCTTTTGTATATTATAAATTACATTGAAATTAGGTTTTCCCAAATGTAATTTCATGCTCATACTTTAATTATAGGAAATTGAATTATAATTTATTAAAGCAGCTTAATAACCTCATTTATTTATTAAAATTGAAATTTTTTAGTATGTCATATCGAATTTCTAAAGCATGTTGTTCCTAATGATAGACACATAGCAATCTGGCTGGCCTAGTTTAAATCGAATTGGGCCCCTCGTCGCCATACGCCCATGCCTGATTATCACCAAATCCCCTAAAGGCACCCTCTGTGCAGCTATGCTTTGAGCTTTGAGTTTGCGATCAGAGCAAATAGCGCTGTCGCCTTGATGCATGCCACGAAACCCAGCAGCGCAAACAAAGGCCCAGATCTAAATCTCTCTTTCATTCCGCTTGTTGCAGATCTGCGCCGAAATCAAACCGACGCTGCAGGCTCGCATCGCAGACGAGTACTCGTCCAACGCAGACTTCACAGACGTGTGGGACACTCTGCAGCGGAGCGCCAAGTGCTGCGGCGTGGCAGGACCTCGCGACTTTCTCCCCCTGACGCCGCAGAGTCCTGGCGAGGGAGGCAACAACACCACAATCATCGTTCCGCACAACCTGCAGGGGTGGTGGGGGTGGAGTAACGAGGGTGACGAGAGCATCCTGGTGCCACAGAGCTGCTGCCGACCCGTGATGGTTCTCGAGACCACCACCTCAGGGTCGCTGGCCAACGAGACCATCATCCTTCAGAGCAGGCAACGCTGCGAAGTCTTCTCCCTGGGTTGCGAGCAGCACCTGGTCAGGTGGCTCAGGTCGAACTCCGACATGTTGCTGGTCATCGGCTACTGCGTGGTGGCCTTCGTCAAGCTCACCTTCTTGGGCATTCTGCACTATGAAATCAGGGAGATGCTGCAGAAGATCAAACTGATGCAGCAGGAGAGGGAGGCGTTCGCCAACTCAGGGGCAGACCTGACCCTGGCCAACCACTACCAAGCCCTGCCGACCAACCTTCCCCCCTCCCCTGTGCACATGAACCACCTGAACCACGCCCACGTGCCGTCGCCGCAGCCGACGTCCGTGCGGCAACAGCAACAGCCGCCGCCGCCGGTCCAGCAACAGCAGTCGCAGCCCGAAAGTTTTTTCGGCTCGTCGCCTCCGACATCGCTGCAGGCGCAGATGCTCTGCTCGCCGTCCCAGTTCTCGCGATTGCCAAATCACTTGCTGCGTTGCGGCGAGCTGGACGGCAACAACTCGGACACGGGCAGCCATTGCGCCCTCATTTCTCTCGACTGCAAATCGAGCAGTTTCGATAACAATAACAAAGACACTAGTACGTCGCGCCAGACGCAGATCTGACTATTGTGGCGTAGGTACGGCACCATAGCCTTATAGCGTGATGACGAGCTTAACTCGCGGCAGATTCAGTTGACTATTTAAAATAATCAGAATACGTTCAAGGCAGCACGTTTGCAACTTTACCAAGAACCACCGTATAAATTAGATGAAATTGATAAAAAGATGAGAGAAGGCGGATCCTTTTTGTGTCCAAGGTGAAGGAGAGAAGTTGACAAATCAAAATTACTCATAATTATATATTTCACGGCAATATTTATGTTCAACTTATTTCAAAAAAATGTTTTGTATATAAAATAAACTTCCTAAATTGGAAATATATAGTCTGCGATTTATATAGGGCTGGAATCCCAGCTAGAAATTTGATTTTGTTTTGCCTGAAAATTTTAGAAGATCTAACTTTTTACCATGGAAACCAATTTTTGTTATTTATATTCTTCCTGTTTTTGTACGTTAAGAACCAGTTTTGGGAAAGTATCAAATTTTGCCAAGGTTGCAAATTACCTTTTTTATTTTTGTTGTAGAAATAATTTTTTTATCACTTCTTCTCCACAGTCTTCTATTTTTAAACCATTACATAAAACTGATCTTTTTTTTAAATTCTCACTTCACTCAAACATATTGTATATAATGTGAAAAGTAACTTAAATGAAATTTGATCAACAATAAAATCCATTTACAGAATTGTAAGATATGAAATTTATTAAAAACATTTTTTGCAACCTTTTATTATATCTTCTGTACAAATCCCCACACTTCTTTTCCTACTCTCAAATGGACTCTGCCTTTTCTCGTATTAAAAAGGAACCCTCCACGTTTTTGACAGGTTCGCGTTTGACTGAAAAATAAGTTAAAATACTCGACCAAATTTGATAAGCTTTGTATCTACCATGAAAATTTTGAGCAAGGTTGTAAAAACGATCGATTTTTCTTCTGGCCAAGAGAGATGGACAAAATAAATGTCTCGAGTTTTGAAAAGGGTTTTCACGAAACGGCACAACATTCTGCATGGGGGGGAAACGTCGTAAAATTCTATAATATCAAAGATACACCCTTTCGGATATTCGGTGGATTGGCCGGCCAGCTTGGTGGGCAGGCGAGCACGGTGCTTTACTTTTCAAGGTAATGCCGCCGCATTTTATGGACAATGAATAATAAAATGATATGCCGACACTCCTCTCGACAAATCAATAGCTGACGGTGTGTTGAGACGATAAATAATTCATAGCTATACACCCACAAAAGAGAGGCGGTCCTTGGACTATAAACACATCTCGTTTGCGCGGCGGACCTTCCACTATATAGAGCACTATACTTTTTCGAATAGAACTCTCCTCACTCACACGACACACATGGCTGTATCAAAATTACTTTTGTAAAAAGCAGTGCGGATGAGTGGACCTTTTTTGAGTGTGTGACCTGCAGATAACATCAGTGCCAGAGAGTATAATAACCGGGCCAAAAGGACGGATATTACAAAAAACAGACAGCATTTCAAATTTTCGCTACATACCCGCCGGCTAAATGCTGGTACTTTTCAAAATAGAAAGAGAGCTCCTCTGTATTTCTACACCCAGGAACATTTTTTGTAAAACTCGGACTCTCGCCGTTTCATTCCATTCCGTAGTAATAATAATGTCTTGAAATGGAAAAACTGATTCTTTTATCTGTGGGAGAAATATTAAATTTTTAAAATAATATGTAAACTTTCGGTGTAAATATTTAAAATTTTTACTCAAATGTGCAGTTCCAGTGTATTTAAATTTAAAACAGAAAATTCCTGATTCTCCTTTGCATTCACGTTGTTAATGGGGCAGTGGAATATTCGTTTGAAAGCTTATTTGAGAGCAATACTATACCTCGATGCAATGGTAAAATTTCAAAAAGACTGAATGGTAAATAAATTTTGAGGAAAATGTCTTGCTTTTTTATTAATTATAAAAGATTTAAATTATATAATTGAAATTTAATTTTCCGTTGTTATTTAAGAATTGAATGACAATAATTATGGCAAATTATGTTGCAAAAAGTAAATCAATTTCGCTGCCCTAGTCTGTTGTAATTCTTGTTCTTTGAAGCAATATTATTTCAGGAATCGTGTACCATTCAATGTATTACGCCACTCATCTGTGACTCTTAGCTGCGCATGACCAGAAACAATAAAATCCGTTTTTATTGTTAGCATAAATAAATATTATTCAAAAAAGCCAAATCAAAATTTCCGTTCGGGAGAGAAATTATATTAAATTTTCGTCGTTACAATATTAATGTTATAGAAACTCAATGTTCCAGATGTACAAATTCGCCTGAGTAAGTGCGAGACGTGAATAAAAATAGTCAACAAAAAAGGTTTGGTGCGTATTTTAAACAGGGGGGCTGATTTTATCAAGTAATCAAAATACATGGCATCGACGCTGACCCACTATCTGTGCGAACCTGCGCATGACGCGCGGTTCAGAACTTGGACGCAAACGTGTATTTTTAAAAAGGCACTTTTATCAAAGTCACTTTAAAATCTCACAATTTACCTTTTACGAGAGAGCGAGAAATAATTAGAGCTTTAAAATTAAACAAAATTTAGCAAACAAGACAATTTACATTAAATAAAACGCTAATTATATATAAACAAAAATCAATAGGGGCGATTTCGAGCTACAAATGAAATCCAAACTATGGACGTATTTAAAATCAATTTGAAAATCACAACAAGAAAATTTTCAAATCTATTATAAGTGCATTTGAAACAGCATGCAAAGGAGAAAGTATGAAAACGAGAAGAGGAGGAAGAAGAAGAGCGCGTGATATGTTCAGTAATTATGAAACTAATCATCCATCACAATTATATGCGAGTGCGCGTTGCATAGGAGTGTGTGTGGGTGTGCTTATCAGGAGGGAGAGTGACATTTACTTTATTCTTATGAGAAAATGATAATAAATTCAGGAGTTAGTGGAATTATAATGACTCTGAGTATTATTTATTTCAGGTAAATTAAACCTTTATTAATTATTGATAGACGAAGAAGTAGATTAATTTGAGATTTTGAGAAAACCGTTTAGCGCTTATTATGGCATTAGAGACATTAGAGTAAGATCCATACACATTTTATGTTGATAATATAGTTAATAATAATCGAAGGTGATCTTTTGCCAAGATTTTTTCAACACATCATACTTCTTCAAAATGTATGATTATTAAAAGTAAAAATAATAAATAGCTATATAAAATATAATATTTATTAGTAATTTAAATGTGTTGTAATAAATAAAGTGTATTAAAAGTAAAATAAATTTATTTAAAAATTAAAATCAACTTTTACCTAAACAAATCTATATTAAGAAATTTTTTTGGAATTAAAAAAATCCTGCGATAAAATTTTTGAGGTATGTAAAATGATTAAATTTCTTATCAAAATCAAGAATCGATGTTGTTAAAAATTTAAATATACAACAAAAGTCTATAACGAGATTGCAGCAACGGTTTCATAAAAAAATCTATCAGGAAATCCAAGTTTTATTTATTGTTAATGCATACGTTTATTTAATAATTTTTCATTAGAACCAGCATTTTGAGTATTTGCACAACAGACGGGAAAATAATTTTCCTCACAATGAGCTAAATTTGGTTCACACTCAATGACCATGCTGATGGTAAAATACACAACAATACATTAACAAACGGTGCAAACAAACAAGAATTTGCCAGCCGAATAACAAACCGCATTTATACATACATGTAGAGCGCACATAGCCAAATGTTTATGTTTACTCTGAGCAATTCTCGTGCATATATTTAGAACTGGCTCTCTCTAGCGTTTGAACATACACAGAGCGAGCGACGCTAGAGCTGATGAATAATTTTCGCACTATTCACAGCATCTGCCTCGCAAACAGCATCACACAATTTGTCACAGCAGTCTGCGTCTGATTAATTTGCCAGACGCGCTTCACACTCACAATTGACACCAACAAACGCCTGCTCTCTCAGAGCTATAAAAGCAAAAAATTGTACACCTCTTATAGAATTTATGCAAAAATAAATACAAAGTTAAAAAGTCGTCAAATTGTAATTTTGAAGATTAAATTTCACTTGAGAGTTTCTGGAAGAACTTTTTATAAAGATTTTAAACAACATGGTTTTTTCCGTTTTTTCATAAAATAACCCGTCAATTTTCAAAATTTGTATAGCCTAAAAAACCTATGTAAAAATGTTTCAGGAAGCTCCTTAAATATTTGTTCTGATTTTAATTTTTTAATCTTTTCAAAATGATGCGATTCGAATTGTTTTTAGATTTTCATGCCTCACAGGATTTATCCTTCATTTTTAACTATTCATAATTTTTGGTGTCTTTCAGAGTTTTTAATATCGGCGAGGCGGAGCGAAGAAATCTTGGAGTTGCTTCCAAAGGAATGGGTTGCCGCCCGCCGGCGAAGTGGCGCGGCGCTGCCCAATTTGGTTTGATGTTTGTAGAGTAGCATCGACTGCGTTTCCCAGACCGAAGAGTTCCTTCTCGTTAAAAAGAAAGTAGCTGCCGCGGGCGCTGGAACATAATTGTTTTCGGCAAGATTAATGAGGTGTGCGCTGCAGGTATACAAAATCAATCACAGCGAACCAAATGAGATTTCCTTGATTTTAATTAAAAACTAATTTTCTCTGGATTTTCTAATTTTTTATTTTATATTTTTGGCTTGCGCAGCGTTTCAACAATAACAAAAGGTTTTCAAGCAAAAAATTTGGATTTCTTTCTCATCTCTGACGAAATAATATTTTGTATAATTAAAAATTTAACTCAGTTTCGCCTTCAGCTGCTGTTCTTTTTCATTTTTCTCTCTCTCAAATAATAGATTATATCTATAAATTTGGGAGTTGAACTTAATTATTGAGTATCGAATGTTTGTAAGATAATTTTTTTAAGCTCGCTCATTATATATCAATGATAGCTTTTGTTCCATGCATAGGAAATTCAGGAACAAAAGTTCTGAAAATTTGACTGTTTTTTTTTTTAACTCAAAAATAGAAAGAACGAATAAAATTAGGCAAATTAGGATACACTTATATCAATTAAGTTCAATTTGAATCATTGAAAAAATAATTTAAAAAATTACCTCTCACAAATACGCAGTATTATAATTTTAACTTATCATAACAATTAATAATTACCAAGAAGAGGTTTAACTTATCTGACTAGTTTTGTTTATTAATCCATTTTTTAATTCAAAATTCAAATTAAATGCCTTATTTTATTTTTTTGAATCAAACCAATTTTCAATAGCACTGACAATGAATAAAATTCTACAGAATGGATTTCCACTCTTATTGCAAGACTATTGGTAACTTCGCACAATTGTGCCCTCTTCGTGCCATGTGTGAATCGATGAAGGGAGGCGGGTTTCCCTCCTTATGATGGAACACGTGTATATTTTTCCCTTTCAGGCGGCGGCAGCGGCAAAGGGGTTTCGTGAAAGCCACCGCTTTTTGTGCGAGATTGCGCCATCGGTGTGGCTCTTCTCTCAGCGGCACTTCTTGCTGCTACACATATAATTTGATAAAAGCGACAGCTGCCGTCCTACCTGTTCGGCGCCTTGAATCCCATGGGCACCGCTTCCTCGGGCTCGCGGCACAACCCCTGTCTGTACGCCGCGTAGCTCGCGCAACGCATCGCCGGGAACGCGTTCTCGAACATGACACTGCGCGCGTACACCTCGAAGGCGCGTCCGTGGCCGCAGAATTCTGCAAAAAATAACATTTCGTGTTAGTAAAAGCAATAAAATTAATGAAAGAGAGCGTTTGTGCCGGTTGCCATTGATTGTCCAAAACTCACATTTCCGGAATTGCGAAAAAAGTTATCTAAATTGTGTGTGCGCTTTTTTAAATAATTAAATTTCATTTTTATTGTGATAAATTTGGTGGAAATACATTGAAATCTAAGCTAATCTTGAAAAAAAAAATACTTTATGGGTGAAATTAGCACCTATTTAGATCTTTTTCAGGTGAAATACATGGCAAATAAGCACGCAAAAAGGCAAATTTTATACTTCAACATTATATGTTGTTGAAATTTAAAAACAAAGACCTTGATTAAAGACAAAAATTTCAAAATCTGTGATTTTAGGTAAAACTATAGGTTGTTATTTACTCAATTTAGATGGAAAATCTGGTGAAATTGACAATTTTTCATAAAATAATATGTTATTTTAGAAATTCTAAATTGGCAATTTTCTATTTTTATATTTATTTGTAGTTTTTTTTTTATTTCTAACAAAAAGGTGAAAAGATTGACAACCTACTTTTTCCATCTTTGAACAATTTGATGAATTTTTTCAATGTAAATTCGAGGACTATTCATGAAAGCAAAAATTTATTGCCTTTCGCCTTGTTCAAATATATTTTAAATATTTTTGGTTCAACAGAAAAGAAACTGATCCATGTTGACAATTATTTTCGGCCGTTTCTTTAGAGGAAAAATGTGATTTTCCGGACAAGCGATGGATTCCCATATGTGCACCAATGTGATCGATTTTCGACCAAAATAGACCTCCCGCGGCTATTTCCGGCAGAGAGCCGACGCGGCGAACACTGATTTGCGTAAATTGTATTTTTATTGGATTCGCCGCTTTTCATCTCTCTTTCGCCGGTCGGCGGATTTCGGAACGTGTTATGAAAAAGTGTTTCTCATTCGTAAGCGGGTCGATCTCGTGTCGGCGCTCATCACTTCCAAACATGCAATTTCGGCCCCGACACGCTTCATTTCCAAGTGAAAAAGCGATCCAGAACTTATAAACTTGCGTCAGCGATTGATTGAGATTGGAAATTGCTTCCAGATCTATCTCATCGAGTGTTTATGCAAAGTCTGTGGGCGGATTATTACGTCGCGAATGCATTACTTGGGTATTGTCTCGCTTTTGTATCGGCATTTAAATGGGCAGGCCTGACGTAAATGTGTAGGCCGTGCCCTTTCAGCCGAGCTGTGTTTCCTCCAAACAGAAAAGTATCCGCTTAACAAAGTGGGCTATTTTTACAGCGGAAAAAAAATGTTATATCACAACTGAGGTCATTATACAAAAGAGATAACGGTTTGTGGACTAGCTGTGAGTAGAATAAACTTTTTTGGGGGTGGAAAAAGCATACATTATTATAAAAGAATAAAAGAGCCGACTTCTGAAATTCATATTTCTGGAAAAGTAGAACCCGGACGAGAGAGAAAAAATAGCAAAAACACTTATTTTGCGGATATTCATAAAAATAATAATAATATGAATACTGTAGTGAGATATTTAATCTTATCCTATTTGTTTGAAAATATTTAATTTACTCGATTTTCTAAAAGTAGCTTAAATAATAATCATGCAACTTTTTATTGTCGTAATTTAAATTAAAGGCTTGAAAAAATCAATAAATAATCGCTAAAAGAAGAAATCAGTAATTATCAAAAAGCCATGACGACCTTTATTTAATTAGCAATTTATTTAATATTTCTGTGGCTAATGTATATACATTTTAAGTTTAATTGAGTTTTTATTATGTTTTTCAACAATTTTATAAAGAGTACGGAAAAAATTAAACAAGCAAAAAGTTTTTATATCAAAAATGAATTTTCTGGCCTGCGTTTGTTTTGGAGAAGCAAGGGAATGAGGAGCAAGTTTGGATGAACACATATTTGCAGGGAGGAGTTTGATAATTAGGCGCAGGTGACCCTTGCGGAGAGATAATGAGGTTAATCACCTTTGCGGTAGTAGTTAGTCGGTGCGCGCAGAATTCTGGGCACATGGCACTTGCTTGGCTTGGGTCTGCTGATGTAGAAATTGGCGTGCCCAAAGTCGTGCGGCCTCCGCTCTGATGGGCTGTCGGTGTCGATTACGTCCACGAAATACGCGTCCCCCGGATCCAGCCTTTCTTCGACAGGGAACGTTGAGATATTTGCCATCAGCGGATCGAAACCTGTCGCCAGAAATAAACGCCATCACACACATACACGCACACAAATCCTTACTTTTTCGTCTCCTAGGAGCAAATAAAAAGTGTGCGGGAAGGCAGAAAAAATATGATGCCACGCAAGATTTGACGAAAAAATAAACATGCATATCTGATTTTTATAGCTGTGTTGCTTGGATATTATGAAGATGCCCATGTATTTTTGGTCATAAAAAAGAACTTGTGTTTTCCTTCAATAAAATTATGCAAAATAAATAATTGACCAAAAATATTGATACAAAAATTGAATAAGGAAAAAATTATTTTTCGTATTTTTTGTTTTTTAAGAGTCAAAGCAAAGTTCTTGTGCGTAAAAAATGCGTCAGAAATATCAATTTTAACAACTATTAACGAAAGATATCTTCAATCAATATTTAATTAAATATTTATTTTACGTAACTTTCGGTTCCTGAAATTTTAAGGCACACCATCGTTTTTTGGGCTTGAAAATTATTCTAGAGTAGGTCAGAGAGAAAGAAAAGAGATATTTGTTGATAAATTCAAATTAATAATTGAAATTTTTACTTCAATAAAAGTCAATTAAAGAACCAATAAGGAGTAACGTCAGCTCATTCAATAAATGGGAACAAATCCAAAAAGTTATAAATTGAAAGAAAATAAATGGTAAAAATAAATGTATTTTAAATTGAATTAAATTAAGTTCTAAGTGTTCAAAACTCAAAAGTGAGTTAAAAAGGTCGTTTGCCGTTTATCCCAAGCCCTATTTCAGGAATTTCTTTAACACTTTTTCTGCACAAATCAGAAATATATTTTATTTTTCCGTTCCATGTATCATGCGTGGAATCGCACACAATGTTTTTACTCGCCTGTGATCCTTGGGACCCTGACAACGTTGGTCTTGCCGGCAGCCACCCCCATGGCGTGGGCACCAAGGTTATTGCCGATCAAGTGCAGGTCCTTCAGTGGTCCGGCATTCCTCTCGACGAAGTCAAGCATTCGCGCGATCTGATAGCCCAGGGGGCTCACATTTTCCACGGCCGTCTGGTAAAACGGACCGGCTGCAACAAACAGAGAGAGACTCGCTTTTTATAATTGGAAAATCCGCAGCGGCCTGACACTGGCCCGCTCTGTGTGTGTTTTATAAGCATGCAAATAAAAAGCCCCGCGGGCAAAGTATGCAACCAGTGTGCCAAGTGGGTTGCCAACATAAATTACGCCCCAAAGAAACTGCAGCCTCTCGGATAGCATCTCGCACCCCTTTTTTTTCATTCAAATTAGCCCGATTATATGCAGAGCTGGGCGCGAGATTAAACTCGCACACGTACGTGTCACTTCACCCCAGTATTTTGACGTAAGCAGCGTGTAATGAAGTCGCGGCGGGAGAACGATCCGGTGTGTTTATTAACTCGCAAATTACCCACTGGTGCATTCACGAGAATGCGCTGGCTGCTCTTTAGATACTTTAGATAGACCGAGTAACTTATCACCTGGAAAATGCCTTGCACATTTCTGCAGCAACTGTTTCACTGCAAATCGAAAATCAATTTCAACGAGCAAAAAGGAGAAATTTTTATGTAATAAATAATACAGATTGTGTTATGGAAGATTTAATATAACTTTGTTAATAAAGGTGAAATAAAGTTATTTTGTTCAAAAAGATTAATATGAAGAGTGGCAATCGAAGATCTCTAGAAGCAAAATGCAACCTGCTTGATACGCTTGTCTCAAAATTGCTATTTTTGAAATCAATTTTTGTCCCACCCTCAACGGTGGAAAGGAAAACCTTGTAATTAAATTTTGGCTTTGACTCAAGTGCATATTAAACCTTGTCAATAACTATTTCTAATTTATTTTTATTATTCAAAGTTATACTTTTGAGGAGTGGAAAATAACTACTTATTGAAAAAAAATAAAATTATGTAAAAAAAACGTGTTTATATATGAAAACGTTTTAATAAAAATAATTATATAAAATTATATTACTAAAAAAAATAATGATTCAAATTTATAATAAAAATAAAAATAATAAAAAATAGAAATATTTAAAAAATAAAATAAAATTTTAATGTTTTAATGTTTTACAATTAAATTTTAAAGTGTATTTTAACAAAAAAATTATATATTTTCTTATCATTTAACAGCTTTAATTTGTCTACTTTTATCTCTTGAAATAAAATAATTTTACAAAACATGATATAAACTTATCGCAGATTAAAAAACAAGGGAAAAGTAGATAAAGATTTTTATTCAATTTTTCGTGGTTTGGCTCCCCAGACGATTAAACTGTAGGCTCCGCATCCAAGCGAGGAGTCTGTCAACCATCAGCAGCGAGAGTGCGTCAAGTATAATTGAACTGGGCGTCACTCTATGTTTTTTTTTTTATACTCAGTCATGAACACTGGGAAAAAACTGAGGTGCACAGGCTGTGCTGTAAAAAAAAACGCTGACGCGGAAAACTCATTTGCCGGCGGAGAAAAAAAATTGCAGCGAATTTTTGAATTAGACGGGGAGCAAAAAACAGCAAACATGTTTTTATTATATAACATATTATATATCTCGCTTCTCTTTTTTATTTAACAAAAAAATTAAATTTGTCGCTCACCTGCGAGTGGTCTCCATCCGACTGTGACGAAATTGAAACCTCCCCTGGCGGCGTAGGCTGCAAAAAATTAGAGCTGATTAATTATTTTGATAATCGGCGTGTGACGCAACTCGCCTCTTCTCACAGTTCTCGTTTCGATCGACTCCGGTCCTGCCAAATAGCCGTGCGCATAGAATACGGTCGGGTAATTGGGGTTGAAACCTGAGGCGGCCAAGTTTTCTTTGTCGTAAGGGATGAGCGTTTTGTACTTGTCTGCGTCGTGTCTATCAAGGAAGCAGGAGATTATTGATTAAAGCGGGGCACACTGTGCACTAACGGGCTCGGCAGCGGGAGGTCAAATAACGCATGCAAATGACCTCTCTCGCACCAACACAATAAACCATTCACCTTAAATTAAAATGCGATCGGACTTCCATTAGAGCAAGGAATCGAGCTGTGAGCTGTTTAAATTGGATACCTTAATTAGGTTCAAAATTAATTATTCACCAAGAGAAACTTCAATTTTATGTTGAAAGTATCTATCAATCCAAAATGTAAATAAAGAAACGTTTTTTTCTCGTGGAAAAATAAAAATAAAATGTAACTAGACTTGCAAGTTCTACAATAAAACATTTTCATCTGGAATTTTAGTTTGGTTTTGTCATTTCAACCCATTTTTTAGCTGCCAAAAATGCAATTTCAAGTATTTAGAAGATTGAAAAAATCTCGCATTTAATTTTCGTGTGTTTCTTAAATTTGTAAATCTATTTTTGTTTTTGGCTGATTTATTGAATATTGTCTTGTTTCACCTACTCATCAACGCAGGCACAAAAAATTATTAATATTATAGGCCTGTTTCATACCACAAAATATGCAGAATTAAAGATTTATTAAATTATTCAGGTTGGCCAACTGCGAGAGCTAGTTTTCGTGACATATTTTCAAATCTATACTCTTTAAGTACAACAATGGCGCTTTTTATTAATGACCTGCTTTATTAGGTCTTATATTCGAGTGAGCTTGGCGGGTTGTCTCGTGAATTATTGATGCCATAGAGGAGCCTCCGAAGTGCATTGCACCTGGCCGGAACACCGAAAGCCCATTTCATAACTTGGTCTTTTTACTTGGAGTGAGTTGAGTAGAATGGAGTTCAGCTAGCAAAACTACGATATAGACCCCTGGAGGCGAGGCGGCGGCGTGTAGCTCTAAAGAGGTTAAAACACTTTTCCGTTCCCCTGTGTTTCCCAGGGATGGATCGTGCATCATGATTCGCCAGCAGCCCATTTATTACAGACACACACACACGAAAAAGATGAAAGTGCTTTCGTTGACCTAATAAAGATGACGAGAACAACAGAGATGCCCTTTTTAGGTGATTGACAAGGGCAAAGATTTTTTAATTATTATAATACAATAAAATTTTAGAGTTTAAATAAAATTTTAAATTATTTTGGGGTAATTATAGAGTTCTATTTATTTGGGTTATTAAGCATGATTGATAAAATTGGCTAATTGTGCTTCGGTTGCTAAATAAAACAGAATTACATTATTATTATATAAACGTAATAATATAAAATTTTGAAAAAAGTTTATTTTTTTGTAACTGAATTTAGTTACAAATTGAAACCATGGTCGGCCAGTGTTGTGCTTTTGTTTTTAACAAAAACTAAGCACTCAATTTCGTCCGCCCCCATTCCTAGTTTCCTCTGCTATTCTTGATATGATAATGTGTATTTGGGCAGCTGATTTGCAAATCACGAGGAGGAAAACGTTCACGCTCATGTCAGGCATGACTTTCCTGCCGTTGATTTGAAAGCAAATGATGCATGATTACAAAATTGCTTTTATCAAACGCCAGTGAAACAAGCCGCTTCTGAGAGAGCGTTTGCAGATTTCCAAAGTGTAACGCCCCAAACATTCATGAACACAGAAGCTGTTACTTTTATTGGTTTTTGACATGCTCAGGATAAAATCTACTAACGCGTTCCTAGCAATTTGCCCGCGCCGCCGATCGGTGCGCTAGATTAAAATAATGTGTGCAGGAAAGAGCGAAAGGACACATTAATTTTTGACCCAGCAATTTCCTGGCCTTGTAAACACACAAAGCACCAAAGAAAGACACACAATTACGAAAAATATCATCTTAAAAATAAGAAAAAAAAAAAAAAAAGCTGAAAAAGTCTGTAGTGGGAAAAAATTCGACTGATGTAATTCGATCTACTTTGTTTTGCAAAGTGTTATCAAAAATTATAAATTATGGCTCATAAATACATATAAATTGTTGTATTCAATTTATGCCAATATTTTCGTGTTGCTGAAATATCTCATATTTGCTGGAACAATTTGTTATAGTTTACAACTTGTCTCTCGGCATGTCAGTTGACTTGAATTTATAATTATTTTCATATGACATAATTAATTATGCTAATGTAAAATAAACTTTATTTCAAACAGCACTTTTGTTTAATTAAATCATTTTTCAATTAAGGAAATTCATTTTAATTAACATTATGAGTTTTATGAGCAAGAATGTTTTTCAACCCTTTTTTTAGTCTGACCCACAACTTTTCACAATATATTGGATAGTGCAATATGAATGTTTTTTAAATGAATTTTTCACACAATAATTATCTTTACCATGCTTTTTGAAATATTAAAAAAAAATAATTAAAATCAGGTGTTTAATTTCAATTTTTACCATAATCAAAACTTGAATTTTCTTAATTTGTAAAATACAAAACTATAATCTTTTTCTGCTTAAACATTGCTTAGTTAAAAAAATGTTTGAAATCGACTGTAATTCCCAGCCCTACACACATAGTTCTCTAAGTAAATAGAAAGAAATACACATGTTCGCCTAATTAGAGGCCCCCCTGCAAGACAAAGGTCGCGCTCGCACGCGGTGTGTAATTTTGGCGTGCGTGAAACTTGCAGGTTCGCCGCGCGGCCGCGTCTCTTTCCAAAAAAGAAAGTTAATTGAGCCCACCGACCACATGCATGGCACAAAGCAGCGCTGTGGGCTCGAATTATTTTATATTCGCTGATAAAGTTTTCTGTGTGCTCGCGCTGATCTCCAGATACAGAAAACAAAAAGGCACCTCGACTTTTAATCATCAACGCGGAGCACCAGCGACTGCCTCTTTATAAACGAAATTTTTCTCCTTTCAAATTAATTCTGTCGCTTTTTATTCCTTTTTTTGGAGAGTCTGCGAATAACCCTTGAAACTTTTATAAAAGGCGAAATTTGCGTATATAAAACATTTTTCCCGAGTCGCTCTCTCGCCAATGGGAAAAGTAATGAGTCTCTCGTCGTTCTATTGAAAAGCTGTGGGTGTGTTTTTTTATCGCATAATTTCACAGCGGATTGAAAAAATAAACCTGCGGAAAACTGCTGCTGAATGTGGTCAATAACGTGCTCGGTGCTCTCTCTAGTGAAAGACGAGGCATAAAAACGCAGTAAAAGCAGAAAAATCTGCCTGTGCCGCGCGCATCTGATTTGAATGAAGTTAACAAATTATCTCGTCATGCCTGCGGTGACGTGCTCAGCTGCACACTCTGAGCGAGCACGTCTCAACTCGTTGAAAACCAAAAGTGCTTACGACTCCGAAATTGTTTTCGCTGAAAAAAAAAGTGATATCATAACTAATATTCAAATGAAATATAAGAATTCCAGAAGCCGCTAATACTGTAAGAAATGCCACTTAGAAAGATTTGTGAAAATGAATTTACAGTAAAAATTGATACGCAACAATTTTTCACACAATTCCCAGGAGAATAAATTTAAATCAATTTAGAATTTCCTTATCATAAATCGCTATAAAACAAACAACAATAAATTTTTACGACTTTGTAAGACGTAAAAATATTATTGTTGCAAAGTAGATCGAAGTGTCTAAAAAGTTGCTAATTTCGTTGACTTTCCGAATTGAAAAAAAATGAGAAAGTTGAAATATCCTATATTAAGCAGATCAGACGTTTTGATACCTTTAGAATTCAGAGTGTTTGAAGTTCAGTCCAGGTTTGGAGTTAAACAACTGCGTTGTGTGGAAAAATGAAATTATTTTCATTCTTCTATCAATAATCCATAATCCACAATAGTTCAACACTATGATTTTATCTTTTATCGGGCTCAATATTTTGGCTGTTTTTATGAATAAAATTTAAAGTTTACCAGGCAACAACGTAATATTATAAAAAGACACATTTATATAATGTTGTTTAAATGTTTTAGGAAAGATAAATTATAAGAAATTAAATATTTTAGTAAATTATAATGACATAAAACTTAAACAGTATAATAAATCTTATATTTTAACTTTTTAAATGTTAAATTTGTATTTTAGATTATTATTATTTTTTTTTTTTTTTTTTTACTTTGATTGTGAATTAAATCTTATCACGTCATAAATTTATTTAATTACGTAAACATTGATTTTATATAGGTATAAAAATTAGATGCTGTCCATATCCATACTCACTCATTTTTTTTCTAACAGACTTTCTTTTAAGCTTGTCTGCTTTTTTTGCATAGTCAATAATATAAAATAATCTTATTATATGTAACAATGAAAAATGAAATGGAAACGATATAAAAGGTAAATCTCAGTTGTTTTGAAAATTCTAATCTATTGACGAATACAATTAAAGTCATTAATTTGAAGACAAACAAAATGAATTGTGAAAAATAATAATATCATCAATAAGTAGCATGTTTTAATTGATTATTTGAAATGAACAAATTTTATAAATCATGATATGATCTGGCTGGAACTAAAACAAAGCCAAGTAAGTCGAACAATTGAGACCATCATTCGCGTTCGTACCTCAACATTTTACCCTCAATAAAACACACGTGCGCCCCGCACTGATCCATAAGCGAGCACCCCAGCAGAGGGTACGTTTCGTGAGATGGTGATTTATTCATTACGTTTGTAAGTAGTGCTGGGCGCGCAAGAGTTGAATAAATTTACTCGGGCGACCAACTAAGTGAGTGCGCTGAGGAGAGCACATTATTTGCACTCTGGATTGTCCGTCCGTAGCTGATGCAAATAAAACGTGCGGACACAATTATTGGCAATTCCCTCTCTGAATTGCGACTGACGATATTTATGCAAATTAACGAGGACGAGATAAAAATCGGGGTTATCTGCATGTCCGCGGTGTTAATTTGAATTTTATATCCAGGGAATTGCAGCGCGGCAATTCGATATTATTGTTTGCCGCATCATTTTTTTTTCATCATTTATTTGCCTCAGCAATGGAGCAATGGATTTTGTTTTGTTTAAAAATTTTCTCTAAATTCTTCTCTAAAAATGAACCAAGGAAAAAAATAGATATTTAAATTTTCTGTTCATTAACAAGCAACAAAATACATAAGAGATTGAATTTTTGTTCGAGGCGCTCAGGCGTATAGGGAAATAATTATCTGGAAGTGATTACCGAGATAACTCGCTCCTTTGATGATCTAATTAAAAAGAGCTCGCACTATACTGTTGAAAATATGAGAAAGCGCCGAGAGATTGCTGCTTAAAACTTGGCTTAAACACTTTCGTTTTTTATCGCTCGCCGCGGCTGGGCGCATTGAGATAAAAAAAACTTGACCTTTCCCCACCAGGGATATATGCAACCAGAATACATTAGGCTAATGCCCGCTCTTTCGCAATTGCCGAGCCAACAAAAATGTGCTTCCTAAATAATTTTCACCAACATAATAATAAAAGCACTGCCGTTTTTTTTGCCGCATTCTCTTATACAGATTTAATTTCGGTAGTTTTTAATTATGTTTTTGGTCAACTTTAAGTGGTAATTACTCCATTTCTTAGGAAATTTTAACTTATAAAATATCCATATTTTTTTTTTAATTTCTTTCATATTTAGTTATTTAGTTTTCTTCGTTGAATAAATTTTGGGTTTTGTATCAAAGAATTCTTACCAAGGGTCCGATTTTTAATTTTTAAATAAAAAGCATCCTCTGAACAACACCTTCCAGCCCTAGACACTGACTATTAGTTCCAGATGCTCGTTTGAGAATTTTTTTATGCTCAAAAGTATGGAAAATGCTGATCGCATTTAAAATTAAAAATTGCACTCTCACAAGCCTTTTTCCTGTTTTGAAGCTTGAGATGAATCACCACCTGACATTTACAAAATATCAGACTTACCCATCGTAAAACTGGTACAAGTGAAAGGTGACGTCGATTCCAGGTCTGATTTCGGGGCAGACGCCGCTTCCTTTTTGCACCGGCGCGATCTGGACCCACGCGTCGCCGTTCAAGAGGCGGCCAGGTGGACCTGCGAGGAAAAAAAATAAGAAAGCAAATTAGTAATGACATAACCGGTCCGTGACGAAGCGCAGCTCATTTCGCCCGAAATGGGCCTTTCTTCTCGTTGAATCATAATCAATATTTATTTTCTCGTTCATTATATCCGAGAGAGAGAGAGCGAGCGAGCGGCTTTTTCAAACGCCATATTTTTAATTGGACTCGTTCTTTTCGCCCGATGTCAAGCTCGTGACGAGACAATTTATCAAAGCATTATTACTTCTCCAATTGAAATATCATGTTTTATCGCACTCTCCAATTATCACACGGGCCGAGTTGGGTGGTGTTCGTGATTCTGTGATGAATGAACCGTTTCTCGTCATGAGTGGTCCCAAATAATGTGTGTTCGTGACAATCTAATTTTAAAAACAAACTTCAGGTGAGTACATTTCCCGACCACTGAAAGCTTTTTGACGGCGATCGATAATTTTATTTCGGTGGATTATCAAATAATTACGAGGCTCGCCTGCGCACTTGTTGGAAATTCATGTCGTAAAATCGTGAGTGCTGCTGGATGTTTTATGACTTTGTAACGGACATGGATGTATTGTATGCCATGCAGTTTGCGTAGTATTTTATGAATTATACTAAGAATTTTAAAATTCTAATATTAATTATAAGTTTTTTATTGCTTATTTTGCATAAAACATAATTATATTATTTATTATTTTTAATTTTTAATTTTGATAAAGCAGGAACTTGACAATTTTATGCTTTTTCAACTTGTGTTTCTGGTATGTAAATCATAATTTACAAATTTTTATGTAGAACTGACACTAGTTAAACTCTTACTTAGTTACTATTCAATAGCAATAATATTTTCAATTTGTTGTGTTTTTATTTACAATATTAAGTAAAATTTAAGGAGCAAGGAAAAATCTGAAATACTTGTACTCACATAATAATATTACAGATATAATAAAAAATGTAATCTGTGTAATCTATTAAATATTATTTAATAGAAATTGACCGAGCGAAAAATTCTAACACTATAAATCTGCAAATATTAGAAAAGTTTATGATTTCAAATAAGAGATGTATTTTAACTATTATGTCACCTATGGTATTAATTAAAATATTTTACCTCAGAATAAAATACATTTTTAAGTAAATTGATTAATATAATATAATTCTGGTAATTCCTAATGTCGCGCAGTGTATTTTTATTTTTAAATGGCTGTTTAAAAACGATAAATATTCTTTGAACATTTGTAATTCTGTTCTAGATGGCTACGTTTTTACGATAATTATGATAATCATACACGTGCGATTCACACAGACACAAGAGTTTCTATTTCCGAAATGATTTATTCAAACAAGCCCTTTTCAACGTCACACTTTGCACATGTGTGACTAATAATAACCACGTCCATAAAAACGTCTCTCAGCACCTCGCTGTCTATAAATTCTCACCATATATATTTCTTTTTTTCTCTCTTCGAAAATAAACCGGCGAAAACTTTCACAACAATATAACCTTTCTCGGTCGGTGATAACCCTAATTGGGTAATAATTTTGTCATTACCAGGCCAAAATATATACCGCACGCACACGGAGCACATATGCATGCCATTCTCTATAAAGGTGAGCAAAAAGAGAGGCCCATAGTAGTATATGTGAGCCGACGGAGGAACCGGCGACGAGACCGGTGCCTTGAAAGGGAAAGCAAAGTGCGGTGTGGTTTACATCAGCCGCCGCCGCCGCACATATTATACACGAGGTATAAATTATCACGCAGGAAAAAGCTCCGAAAATTATACACACGCGTTTACGTGTCTGCTTTTGATCAAGGAAGAGCGTTTTTGTGCACTCTGGTGTGGCATTTTTATTTTAATACAAATTCCAACGCTCTCTCGCCTGCGTACAATTAGGAAATTCCACTCTCTTTTGTGGTCACCTGCTCTCTGAGGGACATTGATTTTTCTGCAAAATAAGTTGTTTTTTTAGAATAAACGAAACATTAATTGCAAATGAAATAATTATTTTAATCGAAAATGGAATTCTCCCCTGACAATGGAATAAAATTAATATGGCATTCATAATTTGCGGACTGTATAAAATATTCTCCAGATACTTTTTATTATTGCAATTGCAGTAAAGACTGTTGTTTGTGACTTTGGAAAACAATAAAATTGAAAAAACGCTGGATCAAAAAGGTAGCTAAGAAATTAGGTTTCACTCTGCTATCAAAACTATTTAGAGTACAATCAGATAAAATATTATAATTTTATAGCTGTTTCTTTCGCCATAAATATGATTGCGGAAAAATAAAATAAAAATTGGCTCCTTACTTTCAATAAGATTTAAAACTTGAATTATATTATTCAGATTCTGATACACAATTAAAAATTAAAAATTTTAAAACTAATTTTCCTAAATAAATTTTACGCAAAAAATCTACATTAATTATTTTTGCACATAAAACACGAGTAACGAGAGAGGAATTGGCAAAGAAATGTGTCATGGAGAACAACTTTTTCAAGTCAGTCTGCACTGTCTGCAGTTTTTAAACAGGAACTTATGTGTTTAGTTACAAAAGGTCTTGGTGTAAAATCGGCAAACTTTGGCTTTATAGCTTGTCTTCAAATGGAAGTTAAAGCCAATTCCAATCAATTTACGACTGGCAGCTAAATATAAGAATCCCCGAAGATGTAAAAGATTTGTGTTAACATAGATCTTCTCCCTGCACCTGCATAATACAATGTCAAAATTACTTTTTAATCGCGAAAATGGATTTATTTATTAGTATCCAAGGTGGTCTACCCAATTTTGATTGGTATTGAAGAAAAATTAGCACTTTGTAAAATAAAAATCGTGCATTAACGCAGGTGGGACCGTTTTTAAAGTTAAATTATGAAGTTACTTCTAATTTTGCATAATCTGCATAGTGGCTCTCTTTCGTAACAGTTATATAAAGTTGAAAATTTCTCCACGGTTAGAAGTTTGTTTGCACTTGGTTAGGATATAATAATGATGAGAACACACACGCCACACACGTTAACTCGCATGCAAGGTTGTTTTTGTGACACTTTCCTCTTCTGTTCGACAAAACGGTGGGATATCTTTTTAGGTGGGGCTGGCTGCTCATCTCATCGCATAGATACATTACAAAAGGAATTTTTGTATGTACACAAAGTGACAGTGCAACAATTCTCGGCGGCAGCTCCTTGCCAAGAGATGAAATGCATTGTCGAGTCATTCACCAAATATACTATATCATTATAATGCAGACACAATAAACAAAAACTGCAGCAATGAATGAATGAATCGGTTTCGCCTAATCATGGTGGAAGTAAATTAATAACGAGTGTGGTACTCATGCAAACAATAAATTACTAACAGCCGTCCAATTAATCATGAAAAGAAGAAAATCGATAGGTCTCCTGCGTACTAAAGGTGAATATCCGCCGCGCGCGTGTCAAAGGTGACGTTTATTGCAAACTGACGCATCAAATTAATCGCGGCTTACGAAACTGACACCTCTCGCAAGGGCTGCTTGATGCTGATTATTGAATTGCGGCACGAGATTATATTGACAGAAACGCTCTATGCGGATAAACCACCTGGGGAGCCGCAAATATATAGAGAGATGCATTAATGGGTCAAGCATCGAACGGTGCGTGAGAAACCTTGAAATGCATCTCGACTAGCGCTCTTGGAACAACCTAATTTTGCAATTTTTATATTTCTCATAACCATAATCTTGGGAATGTGAGTTAATTAATGGAATTGGTTATTTGCAGTGAGACTAACACTGAATTACAAGTATTTCATCATATTATTCAATTAAAGAAACTAAAATCGTAATAATTTAAAAAAGTTCCTATTTAAATTCTATAATAAACCAAAGTTTTTTGCTGAGCAATTATTTATTAGAAAACAAAATTTATTAAAAATATAAATAACAAGCATTATATTGTATATAAACTCTAACTTATTCTAATTTGTATAAATTCCTGTTTCCATAATAAAAACCACAATTTTAATTTTTTTTTTCAAGTTTCAACAAATTAAAAACTTGATCTTGTTTTTTGCATATTATTTTGCTTTATAATTTGATATAAAAAAATTTGTGTGTACGTCTTTTCTATTAAACTATTAGGTTTTTTCTAAGTTTTATAACAATTTACATTACAAAAAACCTTACAAGGATTTTGTAATTTTTATGGTCAGTGTTTCGTGAAATTTTAATAGACAGCTTTCAAAGCTCTCTGTGGCTTTCTGCATCAAATTATTTTGCAAATTCAGCCTAGCTGCGCTACGGTACTTTCAAGTTTTTGACAGAACATATGCCGCAATACGGAAATGTGATTAAAGTGTATTTTTACACACAGAGCTAGGATTTAAAAATTTACGCTATTGCTTTTGCAAAACCAACATGGTGCTGCTTTTTCATGAGGGTCTATCTCTCCGAGCTAAAAACTACTCCACCAAGCGACCATAAAACAGAGACCACCGCATGAATCGATATATAAAAACTGCAGTCCCTTTTCTTCCGTATTGTTTTGACAAACGAAATTCAGATTCAAAAGATCCCATAAATCTTCATCTGCGTGTACGGCATATATAGCCACGGGGTTGAAAAGACTAAAGTTTTGCCGCAGAGAAAGAATTCCGTCCCAAGAAAGAAAGAAAAAGATATGGAAGAAAGAAAGGCGGGTCTCGCGGTGGCGCACGCACAATGTGTGCACCTCATCTAGCCAGGGCTGAATAATGCATAATATTATCCCAGTTTGCGGTGGTGCGCTCGGGCACCATAAATGTTCAATATTATCTTTTTGATCTGGCCTTGCTTGAATAATTAAGGATGCGGGTTGAAAAGGGTATCGTCGTGCAGATGGCTGCATAGTAGGAATAATTTTGTGTCTTAGGAAACAATTTTTTTTTATATAAATAAAGGGAATAAAATCACATTATTCCTCATTCTTTGAAATAAAAATAATCCCGCCATTAATAAAAAGGCTAGAAATATTTTCTTCCATTATTTCCAAATAAAAATTAAACAAATTGTATTTAGTTACTTTTTTCTAGAGTACCACCTCATTCTAACATTAATTACAAAAAAGTTAAACCGTGTTATAAATATTGAAAGGAAAACGAATTTGAAATTCAAAACAAATGTTTATACCTCTCAACAAGGCGGCGTAAAGTGCTAAAAAGGTTGCAGACAACAAAGTTTTTTAGGATAAAAACATCATAAAAATCGTTTTTATCAATTGCAGTGAAAGTAGAGGATATTTGAATTTAGATTAGGTCTATGATTTTTATGAAAAACTGAATTTTCAGCCATTTAAGGTTCTTAAAATTTAACTCTATTTTTTTCTATTTAAAATCCTCTCCGTAGTTTCTACTTTGTACTAATTTCAAAACAGAAACAATATATTAAAAGTGTGAGTTTTGAAAAAAAGTCTTCATGTTAGTGTTAAATTACTTAATTATTCCACAAATATGAAATAAAGTTAAAAAGTCCTTGAAATTTGTCATTGAAAAAAAAATGTATTTTGGCATATTTTAAATAAAATAAAAAATGACACAATTTTTATAGATCTATTAATGGAAAAATAGATTTTTTAGCAAATTTAAATAAATTTAATCACAAATATTGGCTTACATGCCACACCTCTAATGGCAAGTTTTAGATAGAACAAAATATAAAAGTAAATAATTCGAATTAAATTAAAATTTTTGAACATACCACCAGGCCAGCCGCTGAGAATGCAGAGCATCCAAATTCCGAATCCGTGTGGCGGGTCCATCTCGAATTGTTCACAGAAACACAAAATCCAACTACACAAAACACTCGGAGCAGCAAGGTGCTCCTCCCGAGGAGAGAGTAGTACGGCGTACGGCACTGAAATATCAAAGAAACGCACCTCGCGTTGCCGAAAAGCAGGACCACTTTCCCCTCTACAAACTCACGTATAATCTCGCGGCATTGCATGTGCTTGGCTGCTGACCGCTCTTGTCTCTTTTCGGAGATCGCGTATGTTACATACCACTTTTTTCTTCCTCACGATCGCCCGCCCGGACGCCTCAGGGTTGCGCTCAAAATTTCTCCACGCCATCACGCCGACAACTGTCCGATGCACTTCGTTCGACTAACACGGACAGGCTTGACGTGAGAAATTTTATTTGCACGCAGTGGCTCATTTTTCACTTGAATTACTTTTTGATGTGAGCAAGAGCATTTTTTAATAATAATAATAATAATACAATGTTAGTCATACATTGCCTGCAAGGTAATTTTCTAAAGAAACAAAAGTAGTAGAAAAAACATTTAATCTTAATATATATTTACAAGATAATTTTCTAATTATTTTATTCCTTATTATTTTTTTAGGCTTTATCTTTAAAAATTTTTTTTAAATACAATATGTACTTTTATTTTCAAATAATTAAAAATATATTAGCAAATCGTAGTAATTATTTTTTAGTAAATTGATACATTAGTTCCAAAACAAAATTAAGATTCATTAGCTATAAATTTACCCCATTGTGTACTGACATGTGTGAAGAGATATTAAAAAATTATGCTTGTTTAATGATGGTTGCCATATTCTCGCGTGAGTTTAATAATTAATTATATGCTGAGAAATTAATAATCCTATATAAACAAAAAAATGCCTAAATGACGAATTGAAAGTCATATATAAACATTTTTGCTCTGATTTTGTAGTGTAGAATAAGCTGGGAAGAAGTTCTTAATATGGAAGTAAAAAATCGAGTGAATTAGTTTGTTTCTTCCGGTTTTTTCAGTTGTTTCCCGTAGTTTAGGCTGCAGTGCGGCGAGTAATTGCGCATTTATCGCCTCTTGGCAATTACTTGGTTATGAGTTTCAGTAAGTTGTTCACTAGTGCACTGTGTGCCTATTTTTCTCCAACCAATTTTTCATAATTTGGAGAAAAATGAAATGAATTAAATTTACTACATCGTTTAAGAAGAGAATATGATAATTGCAAAAATTTGCAGAAAAAAAACTGAAATAGTCAATGGGCTAAATAAAATATTATTTTGTCTTATTTTATTTAGGAAAAAGCATGAAATTTTAGACTACTCTTTTATATAAGATCAAAATCATTAAAAGTTGAATAATATAACAAAGGGGCAAACAACTTAGAGAATGTGATTTGTGTAACGTAAGAGATTTTTTTAACAGTCGGAGCTTTGAGAAATTCATATTTCCACTGAAATGCGTCAAATGACTGCTGAGGCAAATAAAAATTCCGCCTAAATTTGCAAAACGGAATTTTGCAAGTAAATTGCACAATTTCAAAGCACGAGATAAAATATTAATTGAAGCAAAACTTGTGTTGCGTGTGCGTCATTTACTGACCGAGCGTTTAATTAGCAAAGTGCACAGCGGCGAATCAACTTTCGGGCGAGGCTCTGCTGTTTGCATGCCGCGCTCGAAAATTAAATCAGCCGATCTGAGCGTTTATTGGAGCGACGGCAAAAGCAATTCGTTTTTTATTTTAATGAGAGGAGGCAGAAAACTTTCGCTGATTGAATTTTGCGGAGAGATTATTTGTTACGTCATCTGGAGAGTGAAGCATCTCGTGATGTATGAAGAGAACCGGCCAACGTTTGATTGCCCATTGCCTGCTTTTTATTGCCTACGCTGCAATTGGAGAAGCGAACCAAGTAAAAGCTTATTTGGCTGTGCGAATCAATTTTATACGAACGGCCAAGTTTGTGCAATGAAATCGGACGAGTGGCTGTTGAAAATTTCAGAACTTTTATTTATAAACAGAGTGGATGTTGTGCTCGACTGAAAACATCCTGTTTCTCTCGTTTTTTTTCTTTCTCTTTTTTACATACATATGCAGAGTTTACAACAATGCGTGTAGAGAGACCTTTTGTTTACGTGTTCTTTTCAATCCGGCAGTTGCGAATTGTTAATAATTAAAATTACGGTCTCCTGAGCTTTTAATATTGTGCTGGCGTCGCCGCACAAATGTAATTTGGAGGTTTATTAATTTTTGGGACGCCTGCTCTTGTTCATGTTGATGAAAATGAGATTCCATTCGCATATTGCAGAGCGTCACGCCATTTAAAATTTTCATCAAAATTTTAATTAAAGTGACGCATACCTGCTCTGCTGCTTTTGTTCGAAAAAAATTGCACATCCAGCGATAATGACACATATGCAAATTTTAATTTCAGGGCTTGTATAATGCGGAGTTTTTGTTTGGCCGAACAAAAACAGTCAATTCATGACATCTAAAATAATTAATCAAGCCATCTAAAATTTTAATCTGGGGTGGCTTAAATATTCTGAGCGTCAGAATTTTTTTACGCCAAAAGCCTTAAAAAAGTTGAAGAAAAAGAAAAAGTAGAAGCAATTTAGTTTTTAATTTAATTTGCATAAGAATTAAAAAATATGTGAGACGTAAATAACTTTTAATAATTAGTGTGGGCAGTTCAGTTCAGCGTCCGCATCTTCTTGACGTCCTGCGTGACCTGTGCTACTTGAACACTCTTGCTTCACAGTCATATTTCAATGTTTATAATTATTGTAATTTTTTTTGTTCTCAGGGCATTAAAAAACAACATTTATAAGTATTTTGGAAAAGAAATATTTTGATAAGTTATTAACTTATTTTTAGTTAAGTCAAGGTTTTGTATAAAAAAATGAAAATAAAAAGCAAACAGATCAACTAGTTACTGCTGATTATTTTAAGTAATTTACTTTTTGCTCATAAAATAGATCACAGTCATGCTCTTAAATTTTTCACTTGATTTCAGATAACAATTATCAATTTTGAAGCCAAACTGTTTTGTCGATTTAAAAAAAAATTAAATAAATAAACCATAATATAGAATATTATAATTAATTTGTTGCCCTTTCAAAAGATTAGAAATTAATAATAATTGGTGAAAAATAATGCTTCATTTAAAATACGAATGAATTTAGAAATAAAATCCACAGGACAAATGAAAAAAAAGTTTAAAATCGCCACTAATCAATTTGTCTAGCGGCAAATGAGCGCACCGAGCGGATTTCAGTGCGCAGCTTAAGCAGCGGAATTCACACACCATGCAAATGGTAATTAGGCTAGGCCTCCTCCCTCCTCTCTCTCCCAAAAGTGGCTCAATTAAGGCGGATTTAAGGCTTAAAATAATGCATGGGCCAAAGTTTGAGTAGCACAGCAGCGTGTGTGTCGCACAGAAGCCAAATTCAGCAGTTTTGCGCGTCGCTCGCGCGGCGGTGCCATTCATTAATTTTTGCGGTGCCTAAAACTCACGGCCCGACGCACACCAGAGTAAAGGCGCTAATTAATAATTTAGAAAACAAACAAAACGAACCGGCTGTTCTTTCTCTTAAAAAGTACGGTGCGCGCACGGCTCAATTATTCAAATGGCACTCCGCGATTTGCATTAGGCCGCCGCCGGACGTTGGATCAGTGAAAGTTTAATCCGCGGGCCTGGGCGGCCCCCCTGCGCTTTCAAAGGTCGTGCATGTGTGTAAAATATATTCGGGAGCAAATAGTATTTTCACTTCTCTCTCGTCGAAAGGTGCGATTATTGCAGAAAATTCCGAATATCCGCTCGGAGGTGCTCGCAAAAGTTTGGTGTGATCACCGGCATGAATAATAATTTCGTGCGCTGCTGGAGAAGCAACTGCCCGCGGGCTTTAGGAGTTTGTGCAGAAAGGCCTCTCTATCTATCTTTCCCGAAGCGCTGCAGCTTTATAGCGCTCCGAAAGATCTCTCATCTGCACAGCAGAAGTGTTGTTTTATTCAAATATGGACAAAGGCGCACTGCTCAATCTGCAGCCAAGTGTGTGTTATGTAACTGCGTGCGTGACCTGATCGTGAAAACATAAAATACAGCTGAGCAATGCTGACAGTCCGAAATCACGCCGGAACGAATGAGAAGGAAAAAATAATTATGTAATGTGAATGTATTGAATTATTTCAAGTTTTTAGTTTTTATTCTATGAATATTTTATAGAAAGTAAAAAAATATTATTGAAATAAATACTTTTTTTTTAATCCATATCATCTGCACCATCTGTTCTAGAAAAAAATGTATTTTAATCAAACATGTATCAAAATCCCAAAAGCTTTATCACTTTAATATCAAAGTAGCGTTAAATAACCAAGCTTCTCTGTTTCAAAACATTATTTTTATCAAGGTTCGCGCCAGTTTGCTCTCATTTTTGTGGTGCGTGAACCAGCACTTGTAATCTGAAAAATTATAATATAAAAAATTAGCGAAATGTGATAGATGAGGATTAGTGAATTGAATTTTAAGTCAGCTTAATTTTCCTTAATGTATTTGTTTAGGCATTTCTTAGAATTGCTCAGTGATACGCAAATAAACTTTAAAAAACCTATGATAAGGAAATCTGACTTTGAATTCAATTCATCAGGAAATGACCGCTCTACAGCATCGTGTTCTTGACAAAATAATTTAATTTACATGAATTATTTTAATATAAAAAAAAATGCGCATTAGCTTTTTATGTAATTTAATAAACATTTTATAAAATAATATAATATTTTATATACGCCTCATGGTTGTCCAAACTTAAAAAATGGGGCAAAAGGTTTCGAACAAAAATGTAACATTATTATTTAAATTTAAATTCTACAATAATTGTTAAGAGTCATGAAAATTGATTTTATGCCTGCTATTTTGCGGAGCTATATGCAATGGAAATACAAAGAAAATTTTCCTATTTTTAAAATGTAACAGCTATTTTGAATTAAGAAGGGGTAAGTAACAGCATCTGTGTTAATTAAACCTTCGTTGAAAATTTAAAAAATAAATAAAATAGGAAAAGTTGAGAGGAGCAGTTGGATTTTTTATACAGGCAAAGATTATAAAATTATAAGAAAAGTTTAAATTAAAATTGGCATCAGCATCAACATTTTTATATGTAAAATTTTTAGCGTTTTAAAAGCAATAGAAGTAGTGTTCTATTTATACAAAAAAATATTAATTTTAAATTTTTGTAATAAAAAGGTAAATAAGAAAAAGAGAAATAAATAAACAAGAATTAAATAATATATTTTAAGGACTCCTTTTTGACATAGTCAAATCAAGTCTTTACAACAATAGAAATCATTTTTGGCAATTATTGGGAATTTAATAACAAACCAATTACCAATTGTTGTAAACTTGATTTGACCATGTCAATAAGGAGTCCTTAACATTTAATATTAAAAGTAAGTTTAGTACTTGTGGCGCTATCTCCCGGGCGTTTTAGCAAACACTTGGAGAGAAAGTGTCCGTCCGGTGAGCGTGACGCCCCGCTCTGCGGCCTCCGCATTCATTTCATATCAAATCGCACACACTCATCCATACACACAGATCGCACTGTCTTGAGAGTTAATTCTGCGAAAAGCGAATCGCGAGCCAAAAGGAAACGTCAGTGAAAAAGAAGAGGCGCAGCGAAAGATGGCCGAGAAGGTGCCCGAGGCGGAGGCGGCTCCGGCCGGGGGCGGCAGTGTGCTGGTCGAGGTGCTGCTGCAGATCGTGTCCAGTCCCCTCAACATCGCCCTCGTCGGGCTCATCCTCGTGTTGCTGTACAAAATCTGGAAGAGCCGACAGCCGTCGGCGGCCGCCGCGGCCCACGTGTCCGAACCTGAGCTGCCGAAGCTGCGCAAGGACTTCACCGTGGAGGATTTGCGCGCCTTCGCCGGCGACTCCGGCGACGGCCGCATCCTCATCGCCGTCAACGGGAAGGTCTTCGACGTCACCAGGGGCCGCAGGTTCTACGGCCCAGGTTCGCCCCCTCCCACCCTATAACTGCATGACCTCTCCTCTGACCTTTCAATTCCAATTTCAGGCGGACCGTACGCGGCCTTCGGCGGCAGGGACGCGAGCAGGGGCTTGGCCACCTTCCAGGTCGGCCCTGGCAAAGACGAGTACGATGACCTCAGTGACCTTACCCCCGCCGAGATGGAGTCGGTGCGCGAGTGGGAAATGCAGTTCACCGGTAATTAACAGTCAATTAAAGCCAATTAAGTTTTAAGATATGCACCCCTCTCTTGTTTCTCGACAAGTCCGTGCGTCACAATCCTTTTCTCTAGGCAAGGGGAGAGTTTGGTGACAGTGCAGATTTTTTTCTTCTCTTTCTTTCGTTAATATTTTTGACCACAGTCACTGGAATTCAAAAGAAAGTCATTCGCCTTCGAAAAGAAGAAAATTAAACTGTTTCTTCACCGACTGCAGACTGATTTGCACTCAATTAGCATTGATTAGTGACTGCTGACAGCCAGTTTCTTCACTGACGTTTTAAAAGCCACTTATTTATTGATTCAATAATTACAAATCTTTAATAAAATTACTGGATTTAATTATAAATTAAGTCTGCAGTCAAGACAGAATTCTTGTTTGCTGCATTGAAACACGACTAAGAATTATTTACAGTACTTTGCTATTCATTTGAGTGGTAAACGCCACTATTTACCCTGCAGCTGTTGTTCATGTGGAATTTCTCACAGCAAATAGTATAAGGCATGCAATGAGAATCATCTATTTATTTATTTTCCAACATTTATATTTGAAAAGTAAACCTTTTAATGATAACAATTATTTCTTACACACCAAATTAAAAAAGTTGAATTTTTTCAAGGGGAAAACCTAACGTTTTAGGGCCGCTGGCATAACGTAATGATATATTTTGGGTATGTTGTAATCTTTTGATAAGATAACAAAAGTCATTAATCGCTACGAACTCTTCACTCCAGAACTCAAAGTCACTGCAAACTATTGATAACTAGATCATTAAAAAATTTAATTGAAACCTACTCGAATTAAGAAGTTTTTAAGTAAAATGATTGTGGCTAACTAATTGCGGAAAGAGAAAAAAAATAATCAAAAGAGAAACCACGATAGTGCCAGGCTCCAACCATACATTTTGTGCCGCATGATTGCAGCCAACTTTCCTTGGCCAAAAACTGCACTGTAACCTTGTAACCCACTTATACTTATTCCAACAATCATTTCCTCTTTCTGAAAACAGAATTAGTTAGATTTTTTTTTATCCTGTCGATTATTAACTTATCATCTGATAAATGATTTGAATATTCCCACTGTCAATAAATTTTTGACTCATTATTTTTTTGTCCTATTTGAATTCTGGTAAAAAATTGGTCTAATATACTTTGCTAACCAAAGAAAATAACAAAATGTGGGAACCTCTTATTTATCCGAAAACTTTTTCAGCATTTGTATGAAAATAATTAATCAGAAATCATTAATCTGAATGAATTTGATTAACAGTTTTTATTTATCTAGAATCAATTTATCTGAAATTCATAAATCCAAAACGCAATAGATTGCGTCACTCTCATTTGCTTGTGTTTATTTCAAGTGGAAAAGTTTTTGTCATGTTGATTACTGCAACGTAAAGCTTATAAGGGTTATTGACGTAGCATTGACCCTCACCAAAATGCACTCGCACCAAAAAATCGCCTTTAAAAGATTTAAGAAATCTTAGTTCTTTCATAAAAGAGAATTTTACATAAATTTTCCAGTTTGCTTATGATTTTATTTCATATTTTTTTATTGTTATTTAAGATTACAAGAAGCTGCTGTTTTTTTTTGGGTATGGCAATTTATTGTTGACCTTACAATTAGAAAGGCTAGGCGCTGAGAAAAAAATATTGCGAAATATCCACAGACAATTCTGACAAATAAATTTCAGAAAAATCGTCGACTCCAAAATTAAGCACTTTGATAGTATTTTAAATTATTCCTTGCCTTTCCCAAATCTTGATTTACAAATTAATTTTTGTTTCAACGACTTCTTGATTAATTTTTTTAATGTATTTTCAGAAAAATACACTTACGTGGGTCGTCTGCTGAAGCCCGGTGAGAAACCCACAGATTATTCTGAGGAAGAGGAGGATCAGGTGGAAAAGCCCAAGGACGAATGAGGAATGCCTGGAGAAGAATTGGGACCTACAAGAATGAAAAGAACCCCTCTCTCCAAACAAACCTCCATCAAGTATTCTCCGATTGACTTTTCACGGAACCGCCTCTCTCCGATTCTTTTCAACACGGCCTGTGCTGGCAAAAATTGTGTGGGAAATTGTACTGGGTCTCTTTCTAGGATTATGTTCATTTGTGCCGATTTTATCCTTAATTGATTCCATTGTTGTTAGTTTTGCCTCGTTTCCGATTGCTTTTAAGGCTTTTAATAAATTAAGAAGAAGTTGGAAGAAGCTGGAGGCTTGCACTTAAGATTTATATTTTAATTCGTAAGAAGAGTTAAAACGGGAGTGGATTTTTGCTTTCGTTCAGTGCTTTCATTATAACCGGCTGGCACTGGAATTGTCTGATAGTTAAAAGTAAAACTGAAGGATTTGCCTCGAAGATTCTACCACGCAGAAAAAAATGCAACCCGAATCAGCATATCATTTTGTCAGAAGCAGTTAGTCCAGATCAGGCAACTTATTTTATTTTTCATTGTCATTTGTAAAATCTGTGATGCGAGCATGAAAATCTTTCATTTTAAATGTAATTTTGTATGAAAATTTTAACCGTTTGTTAGTTGCCAACTAGTTGAGAAAAAAATTGTAAACCCCAAATCTCACGTATTCTGATTGTTGAGTTTTGTTCCTGGATTGTTGGAAACTGATTCGCCAAGTAAATGAACCGAAATGATTTTAATGCTGATGTGCCTCGGTTTCAAAGCAACTCAATCACCACCTACACTTGTACACAAACAGAGGACAATGCTCTTAGTTGCTGTTCAGATATGTATTTTTCTATTGGAATGACTGTTGAAGTAAGCGACTGCAAGAATTGGTCAGAAGAATACGGATGGAGCATTTTTATTAAGACTGAATTAGGGCGCTAAATTAAATTGCTGCACCAACATTCACCAGTTTACTGTTAAACGATGCCTGTTTTTACTTAATTTTAACGCACCTATTTGAATTGAAAATTCTGATTTCCGCCTTTGCATTACTTTGTAATCAATGTATCAGTGTATCTCTTTGGTTATGGAATGCCTTTTGAAATTAGTTCCGTGTACTTGTACATTTGTAATAAATGTGGAAGCAGCTTCAATTAAAATTCTGGCTCGACTGGTTTTTTCTGCCTATCTTACGAATGAGAAACTCAAACCCGAGAACTCAAATTATTTTATGTTTGTTATTATTTTAAAATTGTCATTTCATTATACATAGAGTTTCAATTAAATAGAACCAAACTGTTGTTACAAGGGATAAAATAGAGGTTTCTGGTTAATGTAAAATATAATCTTTATTATAAAACTCAAAAGTAAAATAGTACATTATAATGATCAACATATAAGAATTATAATTAGAAAATTGGTCAATATTTTTTGCTCTTATGACATTAAAATGTTAACTGTTATTTCCTTTAAAATGCACGATTGTCAGTCTTGAGATATTAATTAATTCCGAATAGATTCAGGAAACTGATGAACAAAATCATTTGGTGTCCCATTGAAGATAAAAACTTTCGACATTGCCTAAATTTCAAAGGTTTTTGAGCAAACTTGATTTAAAAATCAATGTTTTTTTTTCAAAGATCGTCATCTATCTTCATCCGCCTCTTGCTTCATTTTGGCCACGTAGAAGAAGTAGTGGAAACCGTCTCCAAAAGTTTCATACTTGACATCCCAAAATTCTTTTCGTATCAGCGGCATCCGAAAATGAGGTTGGGCGAAAGTGATCGACAGAAATTTCCCGGACGGCGTTAAAACGTGTCTGACCTAAAATACAAGGAGATTTTATTAAGAAAATATTATTTAAAAAAAGTTTACATTTTCAACGATTTGGGACATCATTTCGGCCCCTTCTTCGGAAATGTGCCAAACGTCTTCTTCGACGAGAAGTGCGTCCAGGGTTCCTTTTTCAATCACCACGTCGAAACTTCCAGCAATGAAGGCCAAGTGTTTTATGTCCATGGTTAACCACTCCATGCTCGGCAGTTTGAGGCGCATTTTCTTAAGAACAATGTCGGAAAAGTCCACGTTGACGATGTGTTTGAATCCGTCGTTGAACATCTGTTCACTCAAACAACTGTTTCCACAGCCTGGAATTTCAATTAAATTAATTAATTTAAAATGACCAAACTTTTAAATTTAAACACACCTAACATGAGGATTCTGTCCGATTTCTTGACGTGCTCCTCCAGAAGGTGGACGAAATCTTTGTACGTTTTGAACCAGTCGTACTTTTCCTCGGTCTTGTACCGCTCGTTCCAGTAATTCATGTCCTTGTAGCTCTCGTTGGAAGGTGGAAGGTCCATTATTGAAGTTGGTCGGAAAAGGGTTGAATTTTTGGTTCTTCTGATATAATCTGAATAGTTATTTTCGGCACTATTAAGAAAATAATATGTACTTGTTTAAAGTTTAAAAACTTCAGTAAATAAAAGCAATGTTTACAAATCAACAGACTGATCAGCATGAAGGGGGCGGGGCGCCGACCATGCGCGTGCAGCGCTTGCAGTATAAATGCAATATTAAATATAATGTTAATTATTATATAAAATTATATAATATTATTGTATAAATTCTTTTCAATTTCCATTAAAAAAACGATAATTTTAAAATCCTTATGAGAATAAATAAATAATTAAAATTTTGACAATTAAATTTTTTGCTTGAAAAATTAATAAAATCTGAAAATTTTTCAATAAAATTTTATTTATCGTCATAATTATTCATAATTTTTCATACATGTTCAAATATTGAAAATTAAAGTTGCATCATAAAAATTCACTTCTTAAAAAAAAAAATTGCAATAGAAGTACAAAACTTTGTAATCTAGAATTTCTTAATTATTGAATTAACGGACAATAGCAAAAATATATTTTATAATTATATTGAATTACGTACTATCCGAATACAGTTTCTCTTAGCTCTATAAACTTCTTATTGATAATTATGCGATATTCTAAATTGTTATATTATTTTAATGAAATGTGCAATTTTCTAAAACACATAATTAAAAATAATTAAATTTTTCAAATTATTTTAATCACTTGTTCTCCTCTTTCCAATTTTAAATTTTTTGTATGACAAAATCAGACGAAAAATTAATATAATTGTTTTCATTAATTGTGCCTATATAGCATCTCTGCCAAAAATATTAATTATTTTGCATTTTTTTTTTCAAAAAAAGTATTTAACTTTTGATTGCTAATAAAATTTTTGCTTAATTTTTAACAATTTTAGCAATAATCGGGCTCTTCGCAAATAACACAAGTGTAGCGCCAAGTACAAGCTGAAACTGCGAGCTGGCAGTTGGAAATGTTAATGCAGCGATCTGCACTCTGCTTCGAAAAAATTGGAGTTGCTGGGTCTCTATTCAGCAGCAAGGTTGGGTCAACTAATTCGCCAGTCTGCCAATAGAAAATTTTATTCCCCCAACGCTTCTGCTCTTTCCCTGATGTCCAGCATTCCGAGCCTTAAATATTCAAAATAATTTGTTCCAAAAATTGACTTGATGGATTCTTTTGTGTTCAAATACAAATTTTTCACCTTTGTCTGAGAGCACGCTACACAGTTCTTTTATATGGTCCAAAGTTTTGAACGAGGCCAAAATCATACCACGATCGCTGCAAACTTCCCTTGCTTGGGTTCCATCAATTCCACGACCCTGCGCCATATTTATTAGTATTATACAAAAAATATATTTAATACAAATTATTGCTCACATTTTTTTGGTAAATCAAAAAAGTTTTATCAGATTTAGGGAGTCTTATTGTATGAAGCGGTTCTCCTGAGTTGAATTTTAAAATAAAGATATGCAAAATAATTTTGAATTATTACACAACATACCCACTTTATTGTTGCAACGAGCATCCCGTGAATTCATCTGTTTATGTAAATAAAATATAAAATTAACTACATATAAAATCTCTATAACGTTTAACCTTTTTTGCATTCAAAATATCCTTCAGGTCCTTAATTGAGGCGAGTATATTTTCTTCCGTCGTCTCCAAAGATTCCTTAATTATGTATAAAAAGCTCAAAATATCATCTATTCAATTATTTTAACAATCTTACTTTAATTTCCTTTGCAAAATTATTAAAATTTTCCTTCATTTCTTGGACGCCCGTTTGACACGTATTATTGGCATAATATTCTAGTACAGATTGAAAACCCGTCCTAATTCAAAGTATAAATTTAAAAAAAGCATGTGTGTACCATTTATTCCGGAGATTATTATAAAAAAAAAAAAAAAAAATTAGTTTACCTCAAATCCGAAAGAGCGTCTTCTGATTGATGTCCTGGTGTATTTTTGACCAAAGCTCTCACCCCATCCCTAATTTCCTTCAAACTGTAGCAGAGGTGACGAGAATTAAGAAAATTAATAATAAATTTTTAATTTAATACCATACCTGTCTTTTATAACAGCAACGTTAACCACGGCAAAATCGTCAGACTACAGCAAAAAATGTGATAAAAAAATTACACAATCCAGAGGAAAATTTAAAACGCAATGTAAAACCTACTTCGTCGCCATCATCATGAAGTCCTGGTGAACTTTGAATTTGACAAACATGTTGACTCAAAACTATCAAAAGTACTAAACGTCTCATTGCTACTCAAACGGATTTTCTTTTATCTCGGCGTGTGAATGATTTTTGCAATGTTTAACTTCTCCGCGCAATTTGCACACAAGCCATGCCCGCAATCTCGGCCGGTTGAGCTCTGGGAATTATCAAAAAATAAAACGTTCATCGTTACTGGTTGGATTGCGCAAAGGAAGAGGAAACAGGAAAAGACAAGAAGTATCGCCGGAATTCTTAATGTTTTTGCTGATAATTCTTATCATGACATTATGCTACTACACATGAATAATTATGTTTTTTGCCATATGCAGAATAAAAGTTATTTTTGTATAGTTTCTTATCTGGATTATTAGAGAGACGAGAAATATTAGGGAATATAAATAAAGAAAATGTAATTTGATTTCATATCAATATTTTTTTCTAAATATTTAACTCAGCAAAGGAAAAAAATTGATTCTTGTTATGTGGCAGATAAAAACAACATTAACACAATCGTAAGGCAGCCACTGATAAACCTAGCAAAACGTTTTTCCAAATATTCCCTCTATTCCAAAGTAGTGAAGGTAAAATGTATAAATATTTTTAGAATTAACAACTTGGCAAAATAAACATTTTCTGTTATTCTTTGTTTTCATATATTTATATGGGAATTAGATGCAATGAATAATAATATTATAAAAATTAATAAATGCTTAAAATAAATAATTATTTAAAAAATAAAATTTATTCAAAATTTTTATTTTAAATAAGATCTTAAAAAAATGCAAATTAAAAACTATTATTTTATAACTTTTCATTATGCATAATAATTGTATTTATAATATGCGCATTATGAAAATTTAAGATAAAGTTTGTTATAATATTTTGCATTTCAATTCAAGAATATAAAGTTTTCCAGTAGCTCTCTGAACATATAAAATACAAAAATGAAATTTTATTAATGCAGTTATTCAATTTCAATATTAAATTTAAATTCATTTTTAAATACATTGTGCTGTGTGTCCCTTAGTGTCCAGTCTGGTTGCCGGCAGGTGAGGGGTGCCGGCGGAAGGGGTGGGGGGCGCATGCGCCACCCTCGCCGGCAGCAAGGGTTGAAGCGCGCAGGCGGCGCACGCGGGGAGCAGTGAGACTCGCTAGTGTGCGGGAAAATCCACAAGAGATAACACAGTCGAGAAGTGACTTCTCTGGTCGCAGGACGCTGAGCGCGAGCAGCCGAACTTCTTGGACGGACGGACGGGACAGACCGACCTCTGACCTCCCCAACCACCGGCACCATAGGCGAGTACGGTTTCGGCGCGGATCCGGCAACTAAAACGCACGGTGAGTCTCAAAAACCAAGTATCTCAATTATAATTTTTCGGCTGCGATAATTGGCCGCCACGTGGGTTGGCGCGGGGCGTTGATTAAAACGAAACGCGCTGTTTTTTCGTACTTGTTAATTAATTCGTCCACCGTCGACGCGCGAGGCAATTTCAGCCTTGTTTTCTTTTTTACATATAAAAAGAGGGAGAAAGAGAAGCTTAGCCGCTTTTTAATGAAATTCTAACAGCCGCTTTGTGTAATTTATTTTACTTAAATTGCAAGCAGGCGAGCAAGCAAGCAAGAGCGAGAGAGAATGAAATTAAAATTGAAAACTTTTTTAATGAAAGAGCGGCGTCGGCGGCGGCAGTTAGTGCAGAGTGTGTGGCAGGCGGCGGTGGAGGAGAGTGATGAAAAATCATCTCTTTTATTAAAAAACGGAAAAGAATGGCTGCTGCTGCTGCAACTACTACTACATTGCTTTTTTATTACGGGATGATCCCCGGTGCCGAAGCGCAGCACCCACAAAACTCGTCTCTTTCTCTCCCGGTAGTAGATATTAAAAATAGTTTGTGATCTATGGCGCGGCCTGCTTTTAATATAATATGAGAAGGAGAATGAGAGAGAGATGCCATCACGTGCGCGCGCGGCGTCGATTATTGAGTTCATTCATCATTTTAATTAAACAAAAACCAATTAGGGGCTGAAAAGGTGGAGAGAGAGGGAGGGGATGCTTCTCTCTCTGGCGGCGGTTATTATTACGCCCCGTGTTATTATTATCATAAGGGCCGCCCGCCCGCCTCTTTGAGGAGCAGCTTTGCAATCACGAGTTAGTTGTTAGAATGGTTGTTGCCGGCGAGAGGAGCGAACCACGCAAATTGGCCATTAGCTGCTGGCTGCTTCGCTCCGCTATACCTTCCTTCTCTTGTGCAGGCAAAACTCTCCTAATTACCATACACTCTCTGTGTGCTCTCTCTGCTTCTTTGTAAATTGTGTGTGGTGCTGTTGACGTGCCCCCTTATTATTAAAGTTGGGCCCGACTGCCGGCTACTCCACTATACCTTGAGGAAAGTGCTGGGTCGCTGCTGCTGCCCGCCCGCCTGCCAATAACTTGGCGCAGGAAATAATTTGCCCGAGAATTTCGCGCTGCTTTTTGTGTCGGGCCGCTTCACTCTATATGCCGGCAGGAAATTATTCCACAATCTGCCGAGACGTGAACACTCTATGCGCCATACCAGTGGCCACCAACATAATATGATATGGACACTAGAGAAGATTTTAAATAAATAGTTTCAGTAAATTGTCGAATATCATATGTTTTATACTGAAATTTTGAAACCAACTGGCTTAGCTTCGTTGAAATATTGAAAAAAATTAGACAAAGTAGATGACACGTCATCGTCGTCATCTCAAAAGCCAGTGCGATTTCTTGTTCCGTGAAAAATTTATTTTGTGATGATTCTTGTATGGTTCTCTATATAGAGATTAAAAAAACTTTAATGAAATCAAACAAACGTTCTTTTTGTCACATAATTAAATAAATAAGTCGAATTGAACGTTAGGAATTAAAAATTTTACCAGAAATTTCTAGAG